TGATGGACTAAATAGAATTTCATTTACTGCTCTGTCATGACCTACTATAAGGATTTTTCAATATCCAGATACTGGATTGTGGTATTCAGTTCCACAATCCAGTATCTGGATATAGTATATGAATATTTGCTATTTCTGAATCAATCACTTTTCATATTAAATAATACCTGTAAATGTTTAAGAATAGATTGACTTATTACGGAAGTCTTATATTTCAAATGTAAATGATTAGATATTTGAATAAGACAAGATGTCATTTTGTCAAGAATTCAATTTGAGTAAGACTATCACACATATCTTAACAACATAACTGTAAGCCATTTTCTATTCTACTATCTAATAACAATAAAGTAATGGATCCATAAGCCCTACAATATGATGCAAATGGTTGGTTCATACTATTGTTTGCTTCATATTATATGGCTCATATTGGTATTGTAAGACACATAATTCTTAAAAGTATTAAACTATTTAAAAGAATTGCATTCAATGCTGTCAATTTAAATAATGACATAATAATTGTTTACCAATCTTATTAATATAGATATCATTAAATTGGATACAAACTTGTGCACTCAGGGATCTCTTGAGTGCATAAGAAGCTATTACCTAACCACTTCATGTTATAGTTACAGTTACTTTGTATATATAGTTAAATATATATAATTTAGTTTAAATAATATTAAAGCATAGCTTACGAAAGTTTAGCTAGATAATGAAATTAGTTAAATTTAAATTAATCATCAAAGCTTGTTTATGGATCACCAACAATGAATTCTTTATATTAATCCTTTGGCAATATACCTTATATATGTTTATCAGTATACATAGGTATATTTTAGATTTCTAGATGATTGACAGATCTGAAAAAAATAATTGCTGTATTTTTTAAAGGCAAGGGTTAAAAGTTAATTGTTTAGCTTTTGATGTAGTGTTCATTGGTAGCCTTTGTTTAAGAGACCCATTTATTACGAATCATTATTATTACCTTAAGAAATACTATTTTTTGTAAATTGATTGATCTTGAACTAGGAGCAGTGCAGTATATTTCATAAAGAGCAGATTAAGTTTTAAAGGTATTAAAGTTAACATCAATAATATTGAGCCTACTAGGATGACTGCACTTTAAAGGTAAAAATGTGGTACAAACCTTTCATTTGTACGCAATTATTAGACCTTGCTAAATGAGTATTAGTCATCAAACAATAAACCGAGTAAACTTTCAAATACGTCAATAGCGTCAATAAAAAACCAATTAACAAATTTTACATTTAGCAATCCCTCAGTTTATCTACAACTGCAATAAGTAGCACTCTTCTAATTAAATATCAATCGTTACAGAAAAAAAAAACTTCAGCTACGAATTTAGAGAACGGAAAATGGCGTTAAGATTTGGTGCATGTTTTACTCGAAGAATAAAAAATATTATACGTTAACTATAGCTCACAAATTAATAACAGTTTCTACTCTAATTTTAAATCTAATAATTGAAAGAAAAATGAAAAATCACTCACATTTCTAAAAAATTGACAGGAACACACAGCAATAAAAATTTCACTAACGTTATCACTAGGGAGGGACGAGCGATGCATGGAAACGAGACTAATCGAATCGAGTAAACACAAGAACATTTTCTCGATTCTTTTCACTCAATACGAAATGCTTTTAGCTTTGAATTAGAGTTACACTGAATACTAAAAAGAGATCACAAATATAAAGCCAAGGAAAGGGTTTGGTATATTTTTTTCAATTAATTTGTTCTGTAAAAAACAAAGAGTAATAAAACCGTCTTCAAAATAAAAAAATGGAACCAAAAAGTGAAAATGATATCTGGTTCATAATTTAGAAGTCAAGTGAGGCTAAAATTAAAACATGGAATAGTTTTTCATTATTCTAATCGGTAATACGTGTTTCAATCTTGACCCCTTGACTTCGAAATCATTGACCAGATACTATTTTTTACTTTCTGTTTCCATTTTCGATTTTGAATTTGCTATATATTTTTTTTGTTTCTTATAGAACTAAATAATTGAAAGCAATAAACAAATATTCTTTCTATTAATTATTAAGTTATTGTGATTATTGAAATACATCGTTTAATTTGATTTTGTTTTTTATATAATTACGCCTAACAACCACCACCAGTCGCAAAATTTTAATTGGAGGGCCCTCTGAGATGAACTGGCCCACGGTGAACCAATAGGATATATGACAATATTATAAATAAAGTGCCAATTGTTGGCATCCGTATTGAAAATTATATTATATAGTATGTTATTGATAGGAGTTTTTTTATATTTTTACAAAAATCATAGTCATAATTTTACTAAAAAACCCACGAAAATGTGCAATAGTTTTTTATATATTGTCACATGACCGAAAACGCCTGGGGGCGGAGCCTAAAATGACGTTATACACACGTAAACTTCCTGTCATAGTGACATTAGTTGTACGGTTTGACATTTCAATGACAGCGTGTGACGTCACAAACAGGTAAACACGCCATAATACCCAGAGAAAGCTTTCAGCAGCATAACTAAAAGCAGAATTTTTCATTTAATTTTTTTATAATACACAACAGAGTAATAACCAGTTTTCATGGAATCTATAAACACTAATAAATAACGTAAGGTCGTTTTTAAATAGTTGTGAAATACCCTATTATGGTCCAAATTATGATCCTTGTTGCACTGTACGACTGAGTAAAGAATGAACTGAATAAATGTTAGTCATACTGGATATACTGTACTTTCTGGGCCCAAGAGTAAAAACTGCACGCACAGTTTTGTTGGTAGCAACTTCAAAAAGGTTTCTGTTAACCCGTTATTAAACAAAGTGTCCAAACTTATGTACTGGTAGTTTTTTAGAAAAATATATTGTTTTTTTACATTTATTAGTAAATAGGTAAGATGTATCGAATCAATCGAATATTTACATTGATTTTTTATAGTTTTTAGTAGTCTATGAGACAAAAGTTGTTTATTATACAGCCATCGAAAATAAAAATTAAGCAAAAATAATCTTTTAATTGTGTATGTCAATAATAATGACTAGTATGAAAAAAAGTTTTTGTTTTTCATTTACCTAATTTTTTTCTTATTATTAGGTTGTTTGTGTAACTTGAATACAGAACCGACTTTGTCAAGTTGAAACGCCGTGGTCTTGGTCTGGTCTGAGGCGGAGAAATCCCTGCAATTGAGGGAGAGTCTGTGAGCCTTTGTCTAGCAAGGGCGAAGGGGCTGCTAATACCGCAGTGCCGGAGATGATGTCGAAGTGAAGTGTATAATAAAAATATTTTGTTAGAAAACTTTCCAGACCCATATATTACTTCTTTCTCTTTTCTTTCCAATAATTGAAAATGTTGGCCGCCAAAGAAATTCTCGATGCCTATGTAGTCATGAAAATAAAAAAGATAAGGCTGTAAGTTTTTTTTTTTGCCTTGCCTAAAAAAGAGAATATAAAACAAGCAATGTAATTTGTCACAATGGTGTTATTCATTTACTATAGTTAATTTAAAATTTTCCGTATTTTATTTTTCTGAAAAAAAATTTGTTGTTGTCGGTGTCGTATGTCGTTAATAAACTTTGTAAATAATAAGCCATAAGACCTATAATAGAAGCTTTATTGAAACTAACTAACAAAAAATTTTTTTCTTATCGTATATGGTGTCAGGAATAATGAGATGCAGTTTAATTTGATTGTAATATTTATTGAATGCATATCATTGTTTAATTTTTATTTTTAATGGTTAAAAAATCCCACTGTTGTTTTTATTCACCTCAAAAACTTCCTACGAAAATACCTTTGTATAAATAAATATATATGAAGTAGGGACCGATATCTTATGACCAACAAAGCATAATTATTTCATATTTGATTCAATCCAACAAAACTTTCCAAACAATCGATACCAAGATCGCATTGACATCTCTAGTTAGTAGTAGCGCTTCTTCTTCTTTTTCTTTTTTTATGGCATGCACGATTTGTGCGTTCAGCCAATGTCAAGTAAAAAGTTAGCAGCGCTGACAACCTTAAAAAAGGTTTTCGTTTTTTTATTGTTCTCCCTACTCAGGGAAGGAAAAGGAAATAAAGCGCATAAAGCCTCATCTTTAATTTGCCTTTTTTTAAAATGTTACTAAAGCTAACCAAACCGTAAGAACAGTTATAAATACGACATGGTACTTGATACCTTTGCATGTAATTTATGTTTTTCTTCCTTAGAGAGCATGATAAAAGTAGGTGTCGATTCTGACATGATTCTCTAAACTTAAAACTAAACATCAGTCTCTCCTTTTCATTCCGTATAGAGAAAGACAAGGATACAAATTTAAGTTTAGGTATAGAAAATCATGCTAGAATCGATACCGAGTTCAGAGAAATATAAAAGAAACTAGTTAAAATAGTTGCAATGTCATTTTACAGTTAGATTTCATAGGTGTAGATTCTAGCATGATTCTCCAGTCTTTCTCTTTCTTTATACAGAATGAAAATTAAAACTGATCTTCAATTTAGTTTTAAGATTAGAGAATCATGCAATAATGACACCAGTGTATTCTTTTCATTCTCTATACAAAAATAAAAGGAGACTGATGTTTTTATTTTTAAGTTTAGAAAGACATACCAGATTCGATTTTGTTATCTTCGTAATCTGTGACTCAATTATCTGTCTTTTTCATCTTTTTGGAAAACGGCGGTGCACTTTTGTGGATTTCGCCAGACTCGAGTGATTCAGCTTGGTTGTTCGGTAGGAATTGGTGTCGATTCTGGCACGATTCTCTAAATCTAAACTTAAATTTGACAACAGTGTATCCTTGTCATTCTCTATACAGAATGAAAAGGAGAGACTGATGTTAAATTTAGTTTTAAGTTTAGAGAATCACGCCAGAATCGACACCATTGACTGTGCTTTTTTTTAAGTGTGTTGTGAAAGCACAATTTTTCTCTGTCTATGTCTGTCTGATATCTGTGATTTAATGTGTCAAAGTCAAACCTCCGTCAAACGACGGACGACGGAAACAAACAAATTGCTCTATTTGCACGTCCTGGCACGTACGACTACCGAATTTCAAGGCAAAGATTTTATTATTCGTTTTTACCTGTCTAATCGTTAAAAACTGTTGTAAAGATTGTTCTCAACCTGTTTGTGCTGTCTTCTTCTGTGATATAACGTAAATAACAATTTGTTGATGATGCATGCTCCTTCATTATAACTAAATGTTCGCTTCATAACTTCGTTTGTTCGACTGCAAGCAAAAATGTCTAACTTTGGTGTTGGAATTTACATTTTGACAATAATGTGGATATTATCGCTGTTACTGTGTTGGGTGTCTGTGCGTACAGGCCATTATATTGGGAAAATATTTTTAGCTATCTGTATTTCACTTACAATCATTCTATTATTGTTGCCAAAAGGAGAGGCGAATTACTCACTCGGTGCCAATCTTTACGACCATTCGTTAGTGCCTCGCTATACTATTCTTTCGTTTTTGCTTGTCAGTGGAATAGCTGGTTCCATCTATTGTTTCATTCACATTTGCCTTACCCCTGTTGAAACCAGAAAAGTCAAAGGTTTTGGTAATCTGAATTGAAAAAACTTATTCATTGGTAAGTTATTATTTGGATTGGCATTATTCAAGTTAAGGTCACAGTGTTATCTATTTATAATAATTTCATTCTGTTATTTTATTGTGATATCAATTTTTCACAGTTTTTATCTCAAGACAGATAAATGTGTAATGGCATCATATTAACTTTGATTCTCTGCTATTAAATAAAAGATTATTTCTTTTATTTACATAATAATAAGAAGTATTTGTCATTCTAATTGCAGTTTTTTTTATTAATTTCAGTGTTTTAATTTTAAAAAGTTGAATGTTATTTAAGCCTTTACTGTGGTATTATTTTATCTATTCTTTTTTAGTATTGAAAATTATGCAAAATTTGTATGATTTGAAAAAGCAAATATTTTTAAGAGCAAAAGTGTATGAATAGATTACCATAAAATAACAACCATGTGTATTACAATTAATGTAGCATTTTGTATCTATATTTTATGATTATTTAAAGGTGTTTGGAATACGGGTTCAAAGCTTTCAAAGAAGCCTAGTATGTTATTTTTTTTAACCTAAAGTTTATGGGTTTGGTTAATAAAAACAAAATAGCACAAATGGTTACAAATAACAGCTAGTTTATAAATTAATTCTTTATTATTTCAGTTCATCAAAGTAATGTGTATGCAATCTAAGAAATCATGTTTAAAACATCCAAATCATCTGAATTAGTTCTTACTGAAGTTTTGTATTTAGTATTTTTTTTTATTTAATACAATATGATTGTTGTGTCCTAATGGCTTTAGGAAACAAGTTATGTACTTTTTTTATTCAAAGCATTTTAAAAATCATGTTTGTTTATTCTACTTTCTTTTGGTATTATGCATTATGGATGCGACTAGCTCACAAATGATTGAAACTATGGCCAGTACATCAAATTGTGGTACTTTAATTTGTTCCTTCTAATTGTACCTTAAAGGGTTCTTTACCAAGTTGTTAAAATCTCTTTAAAAATATTCATACATCGTGTTAGACATATATGGCTCTATTGTTTCTAAATTGGCTATCCTAGCTTCCCTTTGAAGCTTTGCACCATTCTTCCAATAATTCTGTATATAGATTCTTCTATCTATGATTACTTCTCAAACCAGTCTCAGAAACAAATAATCATTCAAATCCTCAATCTACCCAGGCCTTAATAGATTTGCTTTCATTATCAGTAAATGAATTTTTTAAGTTTTTGATTACTATTTTTTTTATCAATTATAATATAAATTTATTTTTATTTAATACGAGTGGCCTACCCTTGCTTCGCTTCGGTGTACAGCTGTTGTGTAGACAATAGTATTTTGTTCCCAGACTTCATATTATACACAATAACTTTCTTTATGAAACCTATGAAAATTTATTTCACTGGTAGGACCCGTTAGAAAAAATGGACCATTGCTCTGCTGTTAAAAAAAGTTTCTACCCCTTACCATTGGTCCATGCCCTTATTATTAAATGTATCTACTGATGCAGTGGTTTTGTAAACATCATCACTTTTATCACTCTTAATTAATGTACTCCTGATAACTTTTGAATGGTATGAAACTTGGGAATGGTCTAATCCAAAAAGTGGTTTAAAAAATTTCATTCAAATCTATATCAGGTACCTGCTTGATATAGTCTTGAATAAGAAGTGATTTATTTAGATAAGAATTAATACCCAGGTATAAATATGGTAGCCTAGTTCGTAACGGTGTGACTATTGCATATTTTAACACAAAGAAGTAGTTAAATACATTACTAATATTATAAAGCTGGAGAGTTTATTTGTTTGTTTTCATAAAACTTTAGTACATAATTTTGCTGTATTCCACAACATATGCTATATGTTAGTATTAGTTAGTACAAAAAAGTTAGGGTTCCATAAGAATACTTCGACATTATCGAAGTTTTCATATGGAACACTAACTTTTTTGAAAATACTGTATATGCCTATGTTTATCAGGGATAATGTAGGAATCTAAATGTGAAAGAATTTTTTAAGTCAGTCCAGTAGTTTCGGAGCATATTCAATACAAACATACAAACAATAAAATTTTACTCTTTTTTCATATTAGAATAGATTTTAATTTCTTGATAACTAATTAATAACTTAGTTAAAATAGATTTATCCTATTTACGTAAAAATGCTTGTTTCGTTTGTGCAAGTGTATATTTAGCAATGAGTTGTTTTGTTACTGTGATGCTTTATTGAAACATTTGTTACAGTAAAAAATGTCTAATACATTATGTCAAAGTCTGAGATCACCTATTCGAAGTTTAGCAAAATTGAGGCAAGCAAAAGGAATTTCTACATCAATTGTTCACAATGAGACCATATTAGTTAAGAATAATGAAGAATTTGTAAATAAGGTATGATAAAATTTCTATTTTTCATAAATATTTAGTGGATCTGCATGAAAATTTTCCATTTTGAGTTGTATTTGTTTTTTGTCACCACACACGAACACATTTTAAGTAAACTGTTTTTTCTTAGGTAATGAACAGCAACAAAGCAGTTATTGTGAATTTCCATGCAGAGTGGTGTGAGCCATGTAAGATCCTTACACCAAAGCTGAAGGAATTAATTGAGCCTCTAAACAATCTGGATTTAGCTGTGGTTGATGTGGAAGATAATGCTGATTTGGTGCACACTTTTGAGGTATATCTGTCTATTGCCTGTTGTTATTTAAATAGACTTATCTATTTTTATTCATATCTTTTCACGCGCATTAAATAAAACTACTTTTGCATGGGTTTAAAATGCGTTTTTTAATACTTTTTAAGGGTAAAAACGGGATCCTCTGTCCTCTCGGGACGGTCTGTCACCAGGCTGTATCTCATAAAACGTGATAGCTGGACAGTTGGAATTTTCACAGATTATGTATTTCTGTAGCCGCTATAACGCTATAAATATTTAAGGGGGTCTCCCATACAACAGACGTGAGTTTTGGTCGTTTTTTAGTACCCTTTGCGTGCGAATGCGAGTCCGACTCACACTTGGCCGGTTTGTACATAACTATGTTTCGCATTCTTTTCATGATACTCTTGATAACACATCTCGCAGCCCATTGTAAACTTATTCAACAGTAGTTTTATTTAAGAGTTCTTGGGCGATTCACCCGCGCACAGTGTTTTAAGAACCTCGATTTTGTGACATGCCCTTTTTATCCCAAATTTCTATAGATTAAGCCATTATAAGCACTGAAAAAATACTGGAAAAATACGTAGTTTTCGAGAAAAAAAAAATCAAAATTAACCCTTTTTCAATCCGGAATTTTCAAAAAAACAATGTTACTCTTCTATTCAACATGTTTTTTTGTTTTGATTAAATGTATGTTATGTGGCTTTGTACAATAGATTTTCCGACAAAATTTGAGCCTTCTAGAGCAAATCGTATAGACGATATGTTTTATTTTTCAAGTTTTCATTTATATTTTTTTTCTTTAGTATAACGGCGTATTCGGATGAATTTTGTTCACTAAAATATCGAGCTTTGTTGAGCAACCGAATACCGCGTTATGTAGAAGTTATGAGCTAATAACTTTTTTTTTCAGGGTTGACAAAAATTTTATTCCGGCCATTTAATTATGAAATTGAAATATAAATTACTTTTCATAAATAAATATTTACAATGAATTATTTATTTCTGTATTTATAACGAAATAATCGACGTAGTCCTCAAAATCAAATATCCCTTACTGCGTCACTTGGATCTGTCACTTTTAATAAAGAAACTACTGCAGATGGTAATGGTGTCAAGTTTTAATTATTTTCTCTCTTGCATTCGAATGTTTGTTATAACAGGGTCCGATGTTTCCAGCGCTCTATTAAACAAATTCACGGTTCATTTTTCGGGTAATGGTGCTTCTTATCGTTCCGCCAATATTTATTTCGGCTCTCGGCAGCCTGCTCCGAAAGCATCCCTATAGGTATAGTTGCTGATTTGATAATATCGGCACCATGAATTAAAACTTAGTGCAACGTTACGGTATTGGACACCAATTATAGGTAGCGACATACTTATAAGCCAGATTTTTACAAAAATCCCTAAACCGGTCGGAATCAATTGCATGATTGCTAGACAAAACAATACATAATCTGTGGAGATCATCCAACAGCCATTGTTTGATCCCCAGAATTTAGGAAAAATTTTGGCGGAACTTGTCTGGCAAAGCCATTCGTGCTGTATTGCCATCATTTGTTGTACCCGAATTGGGGCGCACTACGTCGACCAGTAAACCCATCTGCTTCCTCACTTCATTTTGAATATTTTTTTGCGCTCTTCAACTTTGACATAATCTATAGAATTGTGTGGGATACGCCATTTTTTTACATCCATTTTATAGCCAAGTCGTAAGAGAAATTCTAGCACTCGTATCCAAAAATGATGCGGACTTAAGCCGCTAATCAATAGCACTCGATTTAATGGCTTAGGAAAAGCCATGTCCAAGTTATTGAAGGTGGTCTATGTTTAGCCACAATACGGGCAACGCATTTGGGATGACGTATTTAATAAAATGTTAAGGACTTTTCCGTCAATAGCTGCACAATATAGTTCACAACTTACGGGTATATTATGAACTTGTGAGGTTTTGCCTTGCAGTTGCAAATTAGATATTTGATTTTCAATTAATTCTTTTTCTGCTAAAATAAATTTTTTGTTCTCCTTCGTATATTGAATATGAATAGGTCTGCAGTATCTATGTGATTGTGGAGCTGGATTAGACCAAACAACATGCCTTTCATTTAACACGAGCTGCAGCGAAACAAATGCAGTAGCAAAAACATTATTTTCATCGTCACTCCACAATATTGTATAATTGTTCATGCAATATACAACAAGTAACACTGCCGATTTTGAGTCGGTAAATCCTTATAATACATAAATATTTTGTAATAAAAACTATCTTAAGTGTTATTAGTTACATAACTAAAAGTTATATTCTCTTTGTTCTCCAATGACAATAAATAGGTCATATAATATATGTTAAAAGAATGCTTATTAACATATATTATAGGAACTCATTTTATTTTTAAATACTCAGTTCTGGATGTGACAACCCTAATACCGGAATTTTGTTTAGTTAATGTTATTGTTTATAACTCGTACATAACGCGGTTTTCGGTTGCATTAAAAATACTCTACATAGGGACAACAAACTTCAATATTTTCATGTATAAATATTATCCGAATACGCCGTTATTCTTAAGAAAAAAAAATAAAATCGAAAATTAAAAACATGGCCATATGGTCTTATACGGTTTGCTTTAGAAAGCTCAAAATTTGTGAAAAGATGTATAATACAAAGCTATATATAAACCTTTAACCAAAACTAAAACAATATGAATGATAGAGGAGCTATAATATAGATGATTTTTTTAAATTCCTAGTTCTAAAATAGGTCAAATTTGATTTTTTTTTCTCGAAAACTACGAGGCGTAGTAATTTTTCAGTATTTTTCCAGTGTTTATAATAGCTTAATTTATAGGAATTTGGGATAAAAAGGGCATGTCACAAAATCGAGGTTCTTAAAACACTGTGCCGCAACACCCCGCGGGGTGAACCACTCGTGGGGCGTAACAACTTGGGTTGGGTTGAACAAAGGAGGTTCAAGTCACAGTGGCTAGCATTTTTCGTTTTATGCTTATTAAGGGAAGTTCATGGACTGTCATCAACGACGTATAATATATAGACAGGGCATACACCAACATTATTGCATTTTAAAATGGCACTAGTAGTATTAGACTACCCAATTTTTAGGGACACTTACTCTGACAAAGGGTGGTATATAAGAGTTAGGGAGTAAGGGAACCGATCTGGAGATCTTCCTTACTTCCTAACAATCGTGTAGTGAAATAGCTGCAGGGCGCTTAGTCGACGCCCTGAGAGCGTATGGTACGGATGTTTCTGTAGTCCAATTAGTTTATTGGCTGTTCCCCGCTCCCCACGACAACGGCTAACTAGAGCCGAGGTTCGAGTCTTAGAAACGTCCTCTAGTTGAGCCGACCCCCTCACGTTCGAGTGTTCTAGAGGCTCCAGATGGAGAGGAGACCCCCCGTGGGGAGATGCCATCCACCTAGTATATCCCTTGGAGGCACTCGCCAATTCTCGGCTTGAGGTCCCCCTAGGATCTCCTCGCCGTCTCCAAACCCGGTGACGCTGTAAAGGTCATCTGCGACCAACAGTATACACTAAAAAAAAAGTTTATTGACGCCATGGCATCTAATAAAGAGAAAGAAGTGTAACTGAATTTTGATTGTGATCTTTAATATGTGTAACAAAAAGAAAACAAAACTATTTAAATAAGGCACATATTTAAATAATCAGCAATAAGTTGTAATTGATACTAAAAAAATATATATATTTGATAATTTTAAAGTTTTTTGATGATTATTTACATATTTCCCTTTAAATAAAGAGAAAAGTTCCGAAGGATTTACTGAAGTTTATAAAAAGTTATCCGAATGCATCAGGTGCCATAACGACGACGTCCAACCGAGGCAACTTCTTTCAGACCGAATTAGGGTCCGATTGATAGGGCGGTGTAATAATTGCTACCATAGCTAGGGGACACGCTCACCCTTTCGATTTAAGACCCTTAAAATTGGGAAGTGTAATATCCGTTTTTTCCTTCGCAGCAGCCACCAATACAGCGCACTAAAATAGTCTCTTTCACTCTCATTCATAATGCAAATACATCTCGCTCTTTAGCCTCACGTGTCAACGGTGTCAGCAACTGTCAAAATAAGTAAACAATAAATATTTTTACATTAATTTGTTTAAAACTTTGCTTACGAATGAAATGATACGTTTTTCTTTCTCTAACAGTTTCCATGAATTTTGTGTGCCATTTAAAATACACTGATTGCGTAAAGGTTTCTAATCCGATATCAGTGATTCTTCTTTTTTTCGATGAGAAATACTTGCCGTTTGGTCCCATAAAATTTTTACTTAGTTTTACTCAATAGTTTTGCTGCTTTTTTTTTAAAGGGTTTTTTATCTAGGCGCTTTACACCAAAATGGATGAAAAAATTATTTCTCAGTAAGTTATACAAAAAGTCTTTCCTGTTCCGGCGCCCCACGCTTTTACAATCAAATATTATAATTAAGAGCACAGACTGTGAAGTGTACAGCCCAAAAATAGCGACAACGTGAACGATCAATAATTTATTTTTGGGTTGTACGTGAATTAATAAAAGCGTGTTTATCTAGTTCTTTTTAAACTATTAATTTATTTTATACTTTTTAGTCTTTGATAACGAAATATTTTTAACATTTATACATTTGTTTTAAGTAGGCGAATGAACCCGCATCCTCTACATCTCCGCTAGTGCGTCTGTATTGTATGGTGTTTTACCTGTCAGCTTAGAACAATCTAGCTCTTCAATCTGGAGACCATTATGTTATTTTATTCTACTTAGGGCCACATACGCCTTTCCAGCTAATAGTTAAAAAAAACTAGAAAAATATTAACACTATTTATATATTTACACTTAATATTTACAAGTCAATATATAATAGGTTTGTTATAACCTTGAAACCTGATCGTGTTCAAAGTCCATTACGTGGCCTTTCTCACAAGTGTAAACACGACTATGATACGATATTCCATTATGGAATGCCAGCGCTTATCTTCTGGCTTCATCATCAGATCCTGAAACCTAATCGTGGTGGATTTGCTGCCCGGCATAGCCAATGCCATGCCGGGCAACGATGGATTCCCTCAGGTAGGAGGGTCACAGTGCGGGCGCCTTCCCCTAACTGTACTTCTGCGGCGGGAGGGAGAGGCCAGAGGATTATCCTCCCGTTCCCTCTCAGCCGCTCAGCCCCCAGCACCTAGCAGTAGTTAACAAATGACATAAATTATCTGTAATGGAACATGAAAAATTGGTGTTTTATACAAATGCTTTTGTGAGAAATTTGGTTGTCATTGTCAATATTTTCACATGTTTTCTTAGGCTAAATAATGCAATGTAAGGAGGTTTTGCCCAGAAGATGTTGCTGAAATTTAGAATTAGTAGCATTTAATAGCATTCTTTATTACTCTTTATTTTTTCTAGGTAAAAGCTGTGCCTGCAGTGATAGCAATAAAAAATGGATTAATAGTAGATAAATTCATTGGTCTGGTGGATGCTGATATGATCACCAGTTTGATTGACCGCATGGCAGGTAAAACCAAAGAGGGGGCGTAAGCTGCTTCTCAGAACTTGTAGATAAATATTTAATAGCATAACAGTCAATATTCATGTTATAATGTTGGAGTGACCTCCAGAAAAAAATACCAAGAGACCACTCTTTCGGTGCATATATTGTTTTTAAAATAACAGTGACATGAGAAATTCATAAAATCTAAAAATATTATGTTATGTATGTATTTAAAACATAAAATTTAGTTTATTATAAAGTTAATATTACACTCCTATAACACATTAAATCATCACAAATTGTTATTTAATGTTTTATTTTATAAATAAGTAATCAGGATTTATCACAAGTGCAATAACATTTGTGAAGTAGTTAGAAAGTCATTGCCTATGCTTGTTTGCAGTTGGTATCTTTTTAGCTACCCATTATGTTTTTACAACTGATAATGACAATGACAAATAAATTATAAAGAGTTTTCTTGAAAAGACTGCTTAAGTTGGCAAGGATATCTTATGCCGTCATGATTATGATACCTACTGTAATGTTAATGTAATGTTTAAACAGGCATTAGAAGCAATTATGAATGTCCAGTTTAATGTGAATGAATGTAAACGAATTCTACTATAATTATCGTTAAAGTATTAATGATTGTGACAAAATCTTTAAGTTATATAAAACGAAATTTAATTTTGTAAGAATATTTATTAAAGTGAGAACCTAAAATATTGACTTTGGTTATCTAACCTATTATAATTTTCTAAATGTTTTGCATTCTAAATTACGTGATTTGCTTTAACGTACTCATTTTGCAAAGTTGTATTGACTGATTTGCATGGAAGATTACTGAGATCACATGTATTATAATTATTGTCATTGTTAGCAAAACAGTTGTATCAAATATTGCCTGGCAAGCACTCTCCTGACCAGCGTTGCCAGTTTTTTTTTGCCGACTTGGCAATTAGGATTTAGGGACATTTTGAGTGAAAAAAGCGGGATTCTTTCGTCGAAAGCCCGAAAAAAGTATATAATGAAGTTTTTGAATATTTATCTTCTTATTTGAGTTCAAATTACGTTTACGTGACAATAGATAGGTACCTAGTAAAAATATCCATAGAAAATGAGTTTTTAATAAAAATATGATATTTTAAATCAGATTTACCCTATCGTTAAATAGAGTTCGAGTTATTCCCGAAAAGCGGGATTGATCCTGTCCCGCGCGGGACATTTAATTTTGTTTTAATAATCGGGACGTCCTGCCAAAATCGGGACGTCTGGCAACGCTGGTCCTGACACATATTTGAAGTTGTGCTTGGCCGTCTATCAACAATACTGTCCTAGTATCTTACTTTAAAATTTCTTTTCATACTTTTTATTATTTGACTGAGAGGTTTAGCACCTACTTCTTAATCTGTACCTGTCTAGAGCAAATTTTAATGTAAAATTAAATTTGTTTTCTTTTGTACATTGCTATACTGTATTAGAGTTATTTGCGTGTATTTTGTGGTGCTAATTTATACATGTAATTGAAGCTTTAACAAAAACATATCTTGTCTGTACCCTCATTAACATCGCAATAGAACAAAACTTTATAATTTATATCATTCTGATGTACCTACTCTAAATACCATTTTTTTTCAAGTACTGAACAAAACAAGAAATATTTTAAATATTGAGGACCCACAAGTACAATGGATATAATTTGGACTTGAATTTTCTTTGGGTGTTGGCCTCCTTCAATTTAAATCACTTTTCGAAGTCTCCTTGTCGAACACCCCTCCTCTTATCCGAACTGACTGTTTGATTTATAGGCCACATATTCTCGATAATTGATTTTTTTCCATTGCCAACAAGATTTTAACTTACCTATTTCAAGATACCAACTTATATCTAATACAGTGTATAAAGATATTCTATCATAATCGCAGGAAACTCAATTATTTCTCAACTTACTATAGTTAATGTATGTTATTGTGCTTTTTATCCGCACACGCCTTTGTACGTGACGCCTTTTAAAACGCTAGGTTTACTTTATTGTGCTAAATATTATCTCTATAATATATTAAGTACCAAATTTATTAAGTTATTGTTGAGTATTTAGGCTTTAGTATGTACACTTCGTTACTAGATGACTATGTTGAAAAACTTGTATTTACACATGATAGCAGAATGACTATGTCGACAAACTTGTATTTATACATGATAGCTGAATGACTATGTCGACAAACTTGTATTTACGCATGATAGCAGAATTTAATTTTATGGATCAAATAATTCGTAAATGATTCATATAATTTCTAAGAACAAAAATTCTTACGACCCTCAAATACGTATTCATCTGGTTGGTGTTGATGTGTAACATATTCTACAATATTTAAAATTGTGCGTCAAATGTGCAGCTGTTGCTTAGAAATACTGGCTGTCGCACTTTAGACAGATTGAGCTCTTACAACGTCTGCGATCGACTTATGATAGAATGTACAGTGGGAACAAGACCTTGTAGCGTGTGGAAAATATCGGTATAAATAAATCTCATTTATGTAAGAGGTGTGAATAAAACCTTTTATATATCCTATTTTGTACTCTTTCCGATTTGTTATAAATTAATGTACAAAAGTAATCCTCATTCCACCCCATCTAAAATATAAAATTCTCGTGTCACGGTGTGCGTAATTGAACTACTCCGAAACGGCTCGACCAATTTTCGTGAAATTTTAGGCGCTTTGCAGACGACGGGGCGGGGCGGGCCGGTCAATTTCGCCGCGAATAATAGCACAAAGTGAATCCTATACTTCAAACGCACACAGAGGGCAAAAAGACCGCGCCGTAGATGCCCGGCGGGCAGTGGCGGCGCGGCATGTCCGCGGCTACCCGCCGTGGATCATACAAACCAGTTTATATGCAGTAATGCAGACGGCGGCGCTGGGCGGTCAGCTCAGTCCGCGCCTCGCGTTTATTAGTGATGGACTATTCACTAGAACGAACGTCCTAAACTGACCGCCTCTGCCCGTCGTGTGCTTTGTGTACGCGGCGCGGGCAGCCGCAGACATCGACGGGCAGACGCGGTCTTTATTGCTTCGCGGACAAAATGCCCGCCCCGCCCCGTCGTCTGCTCAACGCCTTATATGCATATTCAGCAGGTCTGAGAATAAGACAACATCTATTTTCATCCCCCTAAATGTTAAGGGTGGTCCACCCTTAAATTATTTTTTATAATTTTATGATACATCATACAAAAATACATACAACCCCTTAATTTTCACCCTTCTACTACCAACCCCTATTTTTTTTTATGGCGGTACGATGTCCGCTAGGACAGCTAGTCATGTTATAAAAATGCCACAAGACCTTGGTCGCACTGCACGGTGAATGTAAATTGGATAAATCCATGAATTAAAGTCGGCGTATCAATATCCGATGTATGTTATTGAACTTTAAGTTATCCTGATATTTTAATAATGATATTCCTCCAATAAATTAACATTATATAATATTTATTGCAATTAGGTGCTTGGCAATCCATCCGATTGAAAACCCCATGCATATATCATTGTTAATATTTGTATATGCCATAATATTGATTGCTCTGCGATAATATTCTGAAAAATACATTTTTCGTAATTTATGTTTTGTGCTATATAGAAGAAAAATAAGTTAATGGTGCAGTAGAATGTATTAAGTAATAGATTATTTTCTCGTTTTCATATACATACTGATACAATTTGGATAGCATCGATCCTTGCATAACATGTGTGGAGCTGGCGAACAAAACGGTATAATTACGCATATGGTTTTGACCATATACTACTTTTTTTTACAGCCCGGAGGTTTTGGGCCAGCTGAATTTGAATTCCAACTCATGTCAATCAAAACAGCCTAAAATTGTGTTAAAATTACTTAATCAAAAAACAAGCCAAAAGCTAACTGTAGGGAGACCTGAAACGGCTGCGAAACGTCAATAAATAAAGTTCGTGCATTAACCCGTTAAAACTAAATAAAACATATTTGTTTCTTAGGTTTTCACGCACATCACTCATTAAATAAAACCGTTAAAACTAGTTTTATGTAGGTATGTCATTCAGTTTTTTACTACCCTGTAAAATTTAATTTTATGTAATTATAAATATAAATAAATAAATATTTCCAACACACACACCAATTAGCCTAGCCCCAAAGTAAGTACTACAAGGCTTGTGTTATGGGATACTAGGGTAACGGATAGAATACATATATAAGTATATTTATATAGAAATACATATTAAACATCCAGACTGGAGTACAAATGCACGTATTCATCACACAAACATCTGCCCCCACCGGGATTCGAACCGGGGACCTCTCGAGTCGGCTCGGCCACGGAGGTCGTCATTATTATACCGTTTTGTTTGCCAGCTCGTCATGTACTACACCCTGCTCAAGAGAAAGTATTATTTTTCTTGTAAATAGATACCAGCATTAGATTGGTAGTAGCGAGCTTACCTTAGAATTACGTCCAAATAATGACCATATTGGGTCCAGTTTACCTTTTAAATGTAAATTGCATTTAGATAACGACGTCTACATTAGTGTATAGTATATTAGAACATTACCTTTTACTGTGTTAGAAATGCGCAAACCACGACGTGGTTTATACAAACTGCAGAGCCAGTCTCATTAATTAATTAAGTAGGTTGTCAAGAGTTCTGTAAAATTAATTAAGGAATTGAATATTATATTTGTTTCACATGTAACAAATCTCTATGAACTGTAAAGAGAAATAAAATATTTTCTTGGAATTTACGGCTCTTTTTTTGAAACACTAAAAAATAAAAGCTCATTTTTTCAAGTACCATTTTAATTCAGGATATTATTTTGATATTTTCATAATATAACACAATTCAACAGTTATAGTGGCGGTTTTCACTCTATTCGCAACGTAACGCGTTGTTTTCCTGCATATGCTTGAAAAGATATTGATAATTTATTTTGCACACATTTTTGAATTGTTATTTGAACAAATTTTGCATATGCAGAAACCATATGGACGGACTATTTTCATTATCTAAATTTTCAATACTATAGGGTCTCCTGTCCGTACCAATGTGATATATTATGACAAACAAGTTTTAAAATAAAGTAAAGGTTTTGGCAACAAACAATTTATTGTAAAGTGAAAAGCCGCCTTTAAGTGGTGTGTAAGTACACAGAGATGTCCTTGTATCATTAAATAATTTAATTTAGAGCGCAATATGTACCTTAACAATAATCTATATTCATATATAATATCGGCTTAAATACGCTCACGATTATAAAAAATCAGTCTAAAATATATTAAGGCAACTTGAGAATATATAATCATTCTTGTAGCCCTTTCGCATTTGCGATTTGTATATCGCTATAAAATGGAAAAACATAAATACAGGAAGTGCGGATAATCTAGCTAGACTTTCAAAGGGTAGACTAAATTTTGTAGTTAGAAAAAAGAATCATTAATTTTGTCGAGTAGTATTCTATTTATCGACGAGAAATAAAGTTTTTAATAATTTAATGACCAACTAATACTTGTATTCAAACTGTGAAGAAATATTTTTCTAGATGCAAATGCGAGAGGGAAATCGTAAAATACGTAAGTATCTCATTGTGCAAAATCGATCACTGGTTTTAATAGCGTCATTCAACCAGTTAATAATAATTAAGGTTGGTCGTAAGAAATCATGAAGTACACACGGGGCAATGACTGGCCAAGCTCAAACGAATAACGAAAATCAATGTTATTGTTTAGTACTTATTTGCTTTGACTAAAGCCTTAACTTTGGCAAATTGCAACAACTGACGAGTGATTAGTCTTGAGATAAAGTTCGATCAAAGTTAATTCTGCCTTTGACTCTTCCAGCTCTATAAATATTTTATTTTCACTTCCAAATGTATCAATATGATAATTATTTGGCTGTGAACCAACACTCTTTACTCAAAACTTTCTTCGAAATTGTTTCCTAGAATTAATGATTTACATTCCACACTTATGTGTCTGCTTTAACAACGCTCTTTCACACTTGAAAATACTGCATGCTATCACTATTAAAACCAGTTCAGATTAAGCACAGAATAGACTAAGAATGCAATCAATAAATACAATAATGTTCATATAACAACATTTCGGGGAAGATCAATTCAAATTTAAAGAAATATCTTTAATAAGAATGTAAGCACACTCAAATTAGTCTTGTAGTAAGGAAACAAATGAAATTTTATATATTGAATAAGGAAATCCAAACAGAAAACACTGCCATTCTACTCGTATTCGTCATTTTGCGACAAATATCCTTATAATTTTGATTGATTCAAGATAACAATAGATAGTACAGAGTTGTGCTCACTTCTTGTTTCATATAGTTGCGCGTTCTAATCATATAACATTTGATGCCCCTTAAATTCACAAAACTCAACTTGCTAAATTTTTCAATTACTTCCAATCCAATCATAAACACTATATAAAAAATGCATCACAAGTATACCATAGACAACAAACAACAGTATCATTTTAATAAATAAGTGATAAACCGAATGTATACACTCTCAATAACCGTTTGTTACAGTACATTTGCTTATTTTGTTTGAAGCTAAGCGTAGCACAGTATAATTAACATATGAGTGCATACATTCACTTCACAATAAAGAACATTTAAATACATAATTCACACATATATTCATTTGGTGTCGAAGAAAGACTATTACCTTTTTGGAGCAAGTACTCTTTTTTCTTAATTTAGAAAAAAATAACAAATATTTTAAAGGAATCTATACTTATTCATAAGAAAGTATACGACAGTTTATGTATATTAGGGAGATGAATATACAATTGTTTACATGGTAAATTTACATTATTTACAATTCGTATTTACAATGAACCATCTCGTTTACAATAATGCTAACACACAACAAAGCAGTTCTGTTTATGTACAACATAGGTAATCTAGTTCGCGAACTAAACGGTACTGTTGCATTTGGTAATAGGAAGGCTATCTTACAATACACTAACCCCCTTATTAATAAACTAAGACTACGCATGGATAAGTTAATCCATGTTTTGTCTCTGTCTATTGAATGACAAATGGCATTTGAATGACATCAACAAAACACGGCGTAACTAGTCTAAGCTTATTCCTTGTTTATTAATAGGGGGGTAAACGTTTAGTACGTACAGTAGTAGTCATTTTGTTTCATAATTCTAATCTTTACACTTAACCTATTGTACCTGAGTATGATTGTTCTATTTATTATTTAAACTGGGAAGAAATTTAAATCTTCGCGTTTTACTTTTGTGACGTTTCATAAGAAGAACAACAAATACATTACTGTATTTAAAAAAATCGCACATGAAAAATTCATAAAAATAGATGTACATAAGTTATCTATCGATAGGATTGCCATGAGAATAAAGAAGGTACATTTTTGCACGGTAGTAAAAGACTGAGTGGAACAAAATACTGAACCGTTCAGATTGTCATGTGCAGCTGAGAGAGGAACTTTTTATAAAAATAAAAAAATATGTTTACAAAATTTTAGCCTACCTTATTGCAGTCAGAATAAGGTTCAAAATTGGTCGTTTGGCATCGACCGGAAAGTTAAATTTAACTACACCTTCTAAATTCGTTACACGCAATATTCTTGTGTTGAGTCCATAGAGGTATAAGAATAGAGTGGGGAAGGCGACTCTAAAAGTGTCCGTCTAGTAGAAAGAGAAAGAAGATGAGAGACCGCTAGATATATCTCTCTCATATGACGCATGCGCAGTCGTCTGTCCAATAGTTGATCCAAGCATCACATCGAAATAGTAAGATGTTTACGGTTGCCAATGCGCATGCGCGATTAGAGAGAGAAAGCTAGCGGTCTCTCATCTTCTTTCTCTTTCTATTAGAGGGACACTTCCACTTGTACTAGAGTCTATATCTCCCCTACTCTATTCTTATACTTCTATGGTTGAGTCGCGTCAAGGTTCAGACTTCGTCGCCCAGATCTTGCACGCAGTTCTCTGCGATAGGAACAAATTTGTCGTCTATCTCTATGAGCAGAATGCACTTGTCGACGTGAGATCGAAGTTTTGGGTCTCTGTGGTTCGGCGTCCATTTGTGTACAACCTTAACAAAAAGTTTTTAAATTAAAAACTCGGCCCATTATCAGGCTGAACAATTTTAAGGTATAAAAAAATGCTGTTTATTGCTCAAAATAAAAATATAATAAAACAAAATTTGTAAACGAAGATGGCTTAAAATGAAAAAGCTTTAACACCCTAATGATTTTGCTTATTTGATCAAATACCTATAAATTTCGATATCGAATCTATCGATCGTGTTAAAAAATTGATTTGTATCATATAATGTGCTGAGCAGTTAATGTCAAGTCCGCCTTAACTTAAAGTTAAAGAAAAGAGGCTGACCGCTTAGCAAAAGGAGCATCCATTGAAGGTGAAAATGCATTAGTGAAACTATTTTATTCCGAAACATTGTCAAAATATGTAAATAGTTGTTATCTTAACTGGAAAGAATATTTTGATGAAAGATCAAAAGGAATATGGTATAAAACCATACAGAGTCAGCCTCTACGAATACCGTGGTTTATTAATTTAACATTAAGTCGACACTTTGTAGTGACCTTAAATAGACTTCGTTCTGGACATTATCCATGTAACAAGTTTGGATATCTTATGAAAAAAAATTGAGTCTCCCAACTGTGAAGTATGCTGTGTTGTAGAAGATCTCCAGCACTTGTTGATGGATTGTGTCCGGTACCAGAATGAGAGACAAGAGTTTGTTAACAAATGTAAATTGAATATGTCAGGCATTGGTGTGTTTCACAGCATTCTGGTCCAACCGGTCTCGGAACAGGCTAGAATCCTGTATCGCTTTATATGTCTGCCGCGTTTTTCTTCCGATAATAACATATTGCGTTAATTGGATTAGATGATTTGTTAATTTATATAAGTACACGATGGGACTGACATGTCTGTAAAGATAAAAGTCCTTTAAATAAAGAGAGAAAAAAAAAGTTAAAGAAAGAAATCTCCTACTTTATTTCTTACCAGGTATGACCCTATATGCCTACATTCTCAATAAAAATCCATCACAATTAGGATCACCACCGATTTTAAAAGTCCTGACATTTTATTAAAATTCCAGACATTTTGGTCACAAAATGGTACCATTACTCACCAAGTTAAAATAGTATGGTATTTAAATAAATATGCACGTTAATTTTTCATATTCAACGTAATTTCAAAAATCCGGACAATTTAAAGATCCGGACTATATTCTAGAAGTCCGGACATATCCGGACGTATGGTAACCCTAATCACAATAAATAAATATCTCACCAATCCGTCCATTCCCGCGAGTGGCACCCAACTCCCCCAGAAATTCCTTCCGCCCCTCTCCCTTTGATACTCCGACGGCCACTGGACATCGATCCTCCTTCCCAAGTTGATGCAATCGTAAACTCCCAACGGCTCAGTTATCAGAACTTTACTGCCGACGCTTACGTTCATCTTCAGTTCGCTTTTACCCGAATCGGAGCGTTTGATTTTAGTCTTTATCTCTTTGACTTTTGGGTCCTTTTTGGCTTCTTTCTTGAGTACGGACTCTTTGTGCGACAGATCCGAGTAATGGGTCTCCTTGAGTTGAATAGATTCGGGTTTCTCTATGTACCGGCCGGTGAGGTCGCGGTAACTCTCTCGTTCGTGCCGTATCTCTTTGCTTAGTTTCGACAGATCCTTTGATGTGCCTTCGTTTATAAAATATCTATTTTGCAAAAAAAAACAAACAAAAGTTATTAACGTTTGTTATTTACATATGTTTATTTTTAAATTCTTAAGTCACAATGAATATTTCATGGTGTTGCATGAGAATAATGTAACAAAATAATTTATACATGAAAATTTCCTACTTTTAAGCAACGACACAATGCGTGCATGCTGGTCAAACAATGTACTGAGAGTGAGAGCTACAGGTCAAGCTACCTAAAATCGGTCATTTTGTCCAACTGATTTTGGGCTTTTACTTGCTTGATTTATGATTCATTTCACAATCGAATAAAGTTTCAAACAAGAATAAATTACGAAATTAAAAGGTACTGCTTCAAAACTATGAAAAATAGTGTCTTAAATAATTCAATTTTAAAGGACATTTAAAGTCAATACCTTTCAATATAGGATAATAAACAAGTATCAAAAAAATATGCAAAATATAGATTAATTATATATTATTAAATATAAATGTATCGAAAAACGTGCACTGTAAGGAGTTCTTTAAAATAAAAATTCAATGATAATTATGAAGATAATTAAAAATATTCAATTCTATTATGATGTGGAAACGGTTTCTATTTAAACAATGATGATCAAAACTGTTAAACGATATCTACAAAATATGTATTTCTACGATTGCAAATAAGTAAAATGAGATTAATAATACATGAAATTTTACTTTAAAAGCTTATATAATACGCGATGGAACACATGAAATATTTCGGTAAAAATATTAGGTCAAATAAAAAAAACTATCGCATTCCTGTCATAAAATTATTCGGAGTCGTGAACTCACACACAACCACAAATAAAACAATATGCTAGTTGACCCTTTTTGGAAAAAGGTTTTAAATGGTGAATAAATGTTCTATTAGACCGAAAAAAAATGTATTGTAATTTTTTGAGACCTAGAAAGCTACAAATCTTTAATTTTAAAATAGAATTTTCATGGACATACAAAAACGCTGTCGGCCATTTTAGTCTATAGATTGTCTATGCTATGATGTCAATTATAGTAAACAAAAACTCGTAAGCACGAAGAAAATAACTTATCTGAGTTTATAATAAAAAGAACACGATTTCTAATAAATACCACGAAAAATAAAGTAATTATCATTATTGTATTGTACGAGAATATAAAAACACATCCTTGTACTCCAGGAATGTTATCGATTAAAGTGCCGAAAGAAATTAACCTACGCAACTTTATTACACTTATTCATATGTTGTATCAGTTTTATGTTTATTACTACATTGTAATACTAAATGCACTGTACTTACATAAATGCCTTGTCGTTTCTCTGCTCCGCAGAGCAGAAATCGGGGTTTAGTGCAAAAAATTCACCACCCATCAATGCGTCAATTCTTGGCAGATTTGTGCTTTCTGCTTTCACAAAGCCGGCATCCATAATTAGTTTTGTCAAAAAAAAAACAGTAAACGGAAACTTTTCTAAAGTTAAAAGTGTTTTAAGATAATTTTATTCAGACTAAAGAATCCACCCACAATAACACGCGAATGACATTTAGTTGTTTACTGAAAGAGACGTCACAATCATGGCGGATGTGGCGAACAGAGTTTTTAGTGTTTAAAAAATATAGACTCAAAAATTTTTTTTTAAATTTAATTTCTACAGCAATCTTCTGCTTTTATAAAGTGAAATCGATATATTCAGGTTCCTTAGACCAAATACTGTAAGAAATAAACATTTATTTAATACAATTCGACATGAGTCAACTAGCCTATTTCATCTATACTTCGACTTTATTAGCTGCAGTAAAATGACGTTTCAAAATGTCATTCCGTAAAATAATGTTGACAGCCTAATTTCAATAGGGATGTGCTTAGGTTCACAGAAAATCTAATCGTTCCATAAGTAACTCTTAGTGATCATACTTAATTCTATTTATTATTCATATAAATAAAATGCTGTATAAAATCTCAAGTTGGTACTGGTTTTGCCCACTGCGAGTTGTTTTAGTTATCTTTATTGTTAAATTTTTGTTACGTTGTGTTTGTTTTTCGTTACCTACTTATTTTTATTAATCGTGTCAGCTTTTTTTGTTTGTTACATCGAAGACATGGATGCTCAGTTGAGCACGTCACAAGATGGAGATACATTTTTATCTCCTAAGAAAATAAGATCACGTGTAGCTCTAAGTGCAACCGAGAAACTTTGGGTCAGAAACGTTTAAAAATATGTGTTTGAAGTGAAATCTACAGAATCAAACATTTAAGTTCCAAAAACAAGTCAATGCGTCAACAAGGTGGCTGAAGTCTTGGGAATATCCGTCCGCACTGTTTATTCCGTTTTAAAGGAGCACAAGGAGAACGACTGTGAATCACTAAAACCTCCCGAAAACTCTGGCCCAAAACTTACATTTAAAGAAAAACTTGATGATTTCACATTCACTGCTATTAGACGAATTGTACATCAGTTCTGTCATAGAAATGAAGTATCCACCATCGCAAAGGTTAGTTTACCTGTCATCATTAATCTTATTATTATTCGTTAGGTATAATGTGTTTACTCTCACCCCATGTGAAATTTTAACCAATTAGGTAATAATAAATCAATAATTTTTAGGTGCTGCAAGTTGTAAATGATGACTCATATTTGCCCAACTTCTCGAAAGAGACATTGAGAAAAATTATGAAGCATCTTAATTTCAAATTCGCTACTCGATCACGCAAGAGCGTACTTATTGATAGACAAGATATCATATCATGGCGCCAGCGCTACCTGCGTTTAATTAAACAATATCGTAGGGAGGGAAGACACATATATTATCAAGACGATATCATTCTAGGAAGATTGAAACAATCCCAAAGATGTCGTGGACGAAAGCACGAATTCAAGAGTGGCTGACCACTAAAAATATTACATTTGAACCAAATATGGTGAAGGCCACTCTCATAGATATTGTGAAACAACAAAATCATACTGAGAAATATGCCATGGACGAAATTGCTGAAAAAGGTATCAGACTTTTAAGACTGCCCCCTTATCACTGTGAATTGAACTCCATCGAGTTGGTTTGGGCTCAGGTAAAGGGGCACGTCGCAAACAATAATAAAACATATAAAATGCAAGAAGTGAAAACTTTATTCCAAGAAGGAATCAACAAAGTGACACCGACTAAGTGGAGTGACTGTGTGTCTCACACTATAAAAGAGGAAGACAAAATGTGCCACCTCGATCATATTATAGATGAAGTGACAGACAGATTTGTCATTAGTGTGACCGGAAGCGATAGTGATTCCGAAAATGATTGATTAATAAATAATATTGTTATGACAATTTTGTTTAATTTTGGATGTACGTCCTTATACTTCCACTGAAAAAGATCAATCCTTTACTAAAGTAATAATAATGGAATAAAAAAACATTACAACTTAATATTAAATCTCTAAAATAAAACCAAACTGATCACTCATTTATTGAATGATTCACTTACTCACTTAGCTACATCCCTATTTATTTTTCTTCAAAAAGCGGTAACCCACAAAACGTCATTTTACTGCAGCTAATAAAAAGTTCTACTTTAGTTTTATAAACCTTTATCGTAATCTTCAGGATCATTCACCATAATATACAATGCTAAAGGTGGGGATAGTGTATATTTAAAAGTAAAATAAGTGCACCAAGTTCTACCTTTTAAAGTCTCTCTCTTGCCTGGCGTTTCTGTTGGCGATGATCTTGCAGTCTGGCAGCGAGAGATCGAGTCCACTCGGCGTTAGCGTTAAGTCTTCTAAAGAAGATTCCGCGCTAGGAACTCGACCACTTGATACCTGAATTTGATTATCCATATTTTATTTATTTATTTGGCATGCCAATATTTTTAAATCCAACATAATTAAAATACATACGTTATACATAAAGTTGTGCAAAAACAGTTACAGACATACATAACTTTTATTTCTGACAAAATTAATGATAAAAACTAAACTAGGTATACAAACAAACATAAAACTAAACTATTATCAAGGTTTACAATCAATACTCGATAGCAATATCTTTAAGTCCTCTATGCACTATCCATCTTGCTGTATCCAGCATTCGGGACAATGATAAACACGAAAAAGAGATGCAGCTAAAACAAAGGATCTCTTTTACGTGTATAGCACTGTCCCGCATGCTGAATTCAGCAAGATGGACAGTGCGTGGAAGACTTTTACAAACAAACAAGTAAGAATAACAAAAGTAAAACTCTTTTGTCATTGGCTATTTCGTTATTATGGTAATGTTTTAATTTCTAAGTGTAACACAGATTTCCATTTTTTTATTTTGTATGTGATTGTATGATCAAGAAAGCACTTCACTGTATTTCTAGTAAAAACACGATAAAAACTAGTATTTAAAAGTCGTAATAGCCTAGCTTAGGTACTATTATTTAAATTAGTTACCTTAGCACTCGCCGCTCGTCTGGGCTGATCTCGCCAGGCGCTTTCCCAGCCGCTACCAGATCCCTATAATTGTTAAAAAGTATTCAAATTTACAGTTTAATAAGATTTGAAGATTATCCTTTCCTTTCTATTCCTATAGCATGGTAGGATATGAATTCATATCCTGGAGCTGACATTCACGCACACAGTCAAAGTCAATGATTAGTTTAGCTGAAAACAGATTTTAGACTAAATAATAGCAGCATTTTACCTGAAATAAAATGCATATTAAAATACTTACCTCACTGAATGCTTTATATTGAGGTAGCACTTCCGTTTCCCGTCGAATAGGGGTGATGACGGGGTACAGTAAACGAAATTCTATTTAGTCCGTCAGTTAGATGATCAAAAAATAATGGACACATATTTTTTCTTTGGGCAATCAACCTAAAAATTACAAAGTTATAGCGCGTCAAAGTTTGGGAGTAGGGGCTCGTGACGTCACTTTTGAGTGAATTTTCACTTATAAGTGTACTCAAACGTGACGTCATGCGACTTTTCACATCAATATATCTCTGCAATGTTTATATTATGTGAAAAAAGAAAAAATACGTGTCCAATACTTTTTGATATTCTACCAGATAAACGAAGAAAAAAAAATAGCCATCATCCCTATTACCATCAGTTTCCGTACTTTTAATCACCTTGTATCCGGTCCAGTGGCGACACCTGGCAGAAGCGGAGCCATTTTTGTTTTCCTAAGTTTTGACAGCGCCATATTAATTAACTCATGGGCTCAATTATTTCACCAGACAGAATTTAAAGTGAAAGCTTTCAGTGAGGTAAGTATTTTAATATGCATTTCATTTCAGGTAAAATGCTGCTATTAAACTACTTGACTGTCACTGAAAGCTTTATATTGAGACCTGTTTGTTATCGCCTGGTGATCGCCACGTATATAGAAAGATACGCCAATGTGACAATTTATGATAAAGGAGATTGCTCAAATTGGCCCAAACGCACAAAAAATATTGACATATACGGTAATTCTTGGCGTAATTTATAATTTAATTTATAATCATTAGATATCAACGGACACCTTTGTATAGTATATTTACTTTAAAAAGGACTTTTAATTTTACCGGTTTGGAAAACATACGAATCATTTTTAATGGCTATGGGTGTAGTAACATTCAGCCAAAGACTGATCGAAGTTGTTTATATAATATAAAAACAAATCTATTTTTAAGGATCGATAATTTTTTTTATTTTTATTACACTGTGGTATTAATATCCACAACTATATTATCATTTTCACTACATGCGAATGTGCTCAGACAATTATTATAGATGGTAGGCGACATCATAAAGTCTATTGCCATACATTTTTGGCCAAACACCTCCATAAACACATTATAATCTGTATTTATGTTAGACTTTAAGGTATTTATCTATGGGCCTACGTTGCCTGACTATAAATTAATAAATAAATAAAATTATACGGTGTGATACACTAAAAACCTTAAATATGGTTATATTAAAAACATAACAAAAATAATGAAGCTACTGAATATATGGCTATATAACCTTAATCTCTTAGCTTTCTTTGATTAACGACAGTTTAAAAATTCTCTCTAATCTGTGGCTCATTCACAATCATCAGACAGTTTCTGTCACAGATTACCTTATTATAACCGGAAATGCAAAGACGACACCTGATTTTAAAAGTTATTAAGAATGCATTAACTTTAAAAACTAGCAACTATCTGTTAATCTACATGCTCTATATACCTGAATCTAATCCATAATTTCGGTACTTGGCTTCATTTCCCTAGTTTACTATATAACTTATTTGTTTTTTATTATTTTAATATGTTCAGTGTATATGGTTAATAGAAGTTCTCAGGGGTGTCCGTCAATAATATTCGTTTCTACAGTAATTTATATATAATTTCGAATTTAGGAAACATTTTTTCATGATTATTGGTCTTTCGGCCAAATATGTATGGAAGCTGAGCAATCTCCCTTGAATATTAACATTTATCAGATTATGTGAAACTGTATAAAGAAACGAGTAAGCTAAAAATGGATCCAATAACATTATTTGAATCACGCCTTTAATTTCTTCACGCTTACGAAGCTGCTCTAACATATGTATTAGCTGATCGCTATATTCCTTTGCTTGAATTTTTGCTCTGTTAATGACCGGACGCTTCCTTGTGTAGCATTCATTTGTATCTTTGTATATCATACAAAAAGGCGTAGGAATGCGAGAAAATGATGTAAAGTTGTTCGATACTGAGTCTTACATTTTACAAGACTGTACTTTTTACTTAAGTGCCAAAAATCAGGGTCCCACTTACGATTACCAGTATTCGGTACAAGTCACCAGTCGGATTGTCTTTAACTACTTTCACCAGTTTTGAACCAAAACAAGGCTAAAACTAATCTTCGTCGGTACAAATACAATGATTCGGGATAATTTGAATTAGGAATAAGTTATGTGTACCGCATGCTGAACCAAATAACACACAGCATAATTACTGTATAACGTTCAGAACAACAACTAACATGACGAGGTATTTAAAACAGATCATTCTGATGTAACGAGTACATTATTGAAGAAAAGGAAATAAGTTAACTTATAGACACTCCAGAATAGTGGGTTACGGACTGATTCTTTAAAAACAATCGACTTCAATATATGTGTTTGCTAAGACAGGTGAGCTTAGGTGATTAGACTTATCATCCATTGGTATATCATGTAAAACTTTTGTAAAATAATGGTACTTATTTTAAGATAAGTCACGTGTTAAAAATGAGTCTCTCAAAAATCGTCTTAGCTCAGAGCCGAGTCCACAACCTGCGGGATTATTCCGTTAAACATTCTTGTTCCTAGACCACTGCAACCACGCAAGCCATCGTTTCCGAGCCATCTCATAGCTGTTTAAGACAGAGCTGTCGCTCTTTGTAGAATATGATGAAAAGCGTAGTGCTAGCATATCTATTTGATTGGAGTGGAGATTGAAGTGAAGTGGTAAAGCCGTGTTCTTCAACTATACTTCCCAAGCTTTCATATTGATTGGCGGGAAATGATTGCAAGGTCGATTGCAGTGAATTCATAATTATTGTTAGAAGTAGGGAGTGGTTGATACAACCCCACGGAATGACAAAAATGTTGAAACCGATCAACTTCTGAAGTTTACTCTTTTTACAACGAAATTCTCAGGTATAGTTTTTATATTGTTGCAGGGTTGCCGTGATAAATTATGCTATTACGAAGACTAGACCAGATTTTATGAAATCATTTGCCATCCTGGAATCTATAATTGATTATATTTTTTCCTTTTGTTTTTCATTTCTTAAATCTGAGTAATTTATATGTATTAGTTAATACTAAATAAAGATTTACACAGCTTACTTGAGGTGTGCATGTAGTATGCGTAGGGTTTGAAGTATATTTATTCCAGACAATCGTGGCAAGATTAGAAAGCGTAAGTTTAATATTAAGAACAGTTTTCAGTATTTTTTACTAAAAATAACATAAAGTGGATAGTTGCATACAATGATCTTCAAAGCCTTTCAAGAATTTGGTAGATCGTGCTATCTTTCTTCAGTACATAGCACCACTTATACATCAAAATGATCATGTTGGTCACCTCAGACACCTCATACACGACATTTCTATATTGCAAATATAATAATTTCTCATTACGCGAGCAAAAGAGTGAGCAACCCATTTGGTTTGCTTTTGTTATTTTCAAGGGAAAATATGTTATCATCTATCTATCTGGCAGATAGTCCTTAAATTGCAGAAAACTTAGAATTCTTTACATATTTATAGTTACTGCCCTTGAGATTAGAGTTTGATATATATTGGATTTAGATAAACAAGCTATTGAATGGCATGCGATACCACCAAATTTATTTTAGAATTATTTGTGGTGCTCCCAATTTATCAACTGTCCTGCACAAAATTTTTTCAATAGATTAATTGTTTCGACATTTCTTTTTCTTTTGAAATGTATTACAGCACGTCCTCGATAACTATATTATGGTAGAACAACCGTAGAGATCGAGTCAACACTTCACACCAATTAGCCTAGCCTTATAATAGGCATTGAAAGGCATGTGTTATGGGCTAAATAAATGGCATAGAAATGCATAATGATGATGCATAGATTAGTATGATTTTGAATTAATATGTGTAAACAACCAAGACTTAGGCACAGATGATCGTTTTTATCATACAATGATTTGCCCCACCGGGGTGAACCCAAGACCTCGGAGTATGCGACAGCTTAAAAACCAGTGTACATTGCACTTCACAACGGGGTACGTCAACATTCGATGTTCGATCTTTATAGTTTATTAAGAGGGTAGTTTATAACCGATTACGCAAGCCATGAGCGGGTATGTTGCGTTGCGTTGATGTATGGATTTCCACGCGATGGAAGCAATGAATTATGTCAAACGACATTTATTATATTTTCAAATTACTTATTTTTAATGTTTCGAATAGTTTACACTTTTAACGTGACGTACCAGACCAAAAAAATATATATATGGATAACGAATAGACAATATGTTAAATTATGCATAATTTGCTCCACTCGAGTGTCGTATGTTACCGGTGCTTACATAATAGTACGAACTCCATAAGCGAACATGTCCTAAGGAGAACATATATTGAGCTTCACGTAATGGAAATAATATATTATGTGTGATTATAACCCCACAAGGGCGATTATAAGATTGATGAGGATATTCCTCAATCAATGATGGTTTGTTACTGATACTTGTATGTGTAGGCAAGCCATGGAAGGCATGTCCTTATTCATAGAGTTCCATGCGGTGGAAGCAAATTATACATAATATGCCCCCGCGAGGGGCGGTCATTAGAGTTTTGGTAATATGCACCCCACGAGGGTGGTTTGCTACCGGTATTCGTATATGTAGGCAAGGCATTAGAGGCATTTCATAAGGTTCCACGTAGTGGAAACAAATTGTATATAATATGCACCCCGCGAGGGTGATTTGCTACCGGTACTCGTATATGTAGGCAAGGCATTAGAGGCATTTCATAAGGTTCCACGTAGTGGAAACAAATTGTATATAATATGCACCCCGCGAGGGTGATTTGCTACCGGTACTCGTATATGTAGGCAAGGCATTAGAGGCATTTCATAAGGTTCCACGTAGTGGAAACAAATTATATATAATATGCACCCCGCGAGGGTGATTTGCCACCGGTACTCGTATATGTAGGCAAGGCATTAGAGGCATTTCATAAGGTTCCACGTAGTGGAAACAAATTATATATAATATGCACCCCGCGAGGGTGATTTGCCACCGGTACTCATATGTGTAGGTACGCCATGGGAGGGTATGTCCTGACACGCCTTGGGCTTCATGAGATGAAACTAATGAATATCACTTGCCTCTACGTGAGTTGCTCATTAGGTTGACAAAAAGTCAATCACTTAAATCCATGACAAAATACTTACTTTATACGAAAAAAACAACCTCATAAGCTCTGAATCATGATGTGATGATTAGATGGCATCTTATTAAGTGGTGCTTCATCACAGAGATCACTAACTTCTTAAGTAGTGCTTTAGTTTTTACTATTTAGCTTTGTGCCCTCACTAGCTGTAAAAGACCTAAGAAACGATTCTGTTATCTTATCACTATCGTTATTAAAATTAACTGAGCAGGTACCTTCCCACAATGATTCATTTTTATTATAGAATTATGCAATTGCTGAAATAAAATTATTAGGTGATATATCATAAATTATCATCATACTTCTTTACCTCGTTGTTTGTTTCCAGGTTGATAAAGCCTGGACTATGATTATAATTTTCAATTTACATCAGCATATCATTTAAAATAAACGTTGAATGTCTTTCAAACAGAGTGTTGCTTTATCCTAGTTTCAATGTCACACGAAACATGAGAATTTTTGTTACGTGTATTGGTCAGTCAAATGTTAGAACTTTTTATTCATAAGCCTTTTGATATTGATGGCCATGTTCAGAAAACGGCACATCGACAATGATACCTTATTAAGTTTGTACATAGTTCACTTATCCCTCGAATAATATAATCTTTTAATAAAAGGGCTGGAATATCAAGCTCGCTTACTTTTCTTGAGGCAGCGATGCCGCTTTCGTTATACCAGAAGACGACAAATTCAACCAATTATTACTGCAGCTGCTCGAAGAACAATTATGACTAGATCCACACATCTTGCTGTTTTTGCCACTAATGCCAGTCAGTCCGCGGGTGAAACGTCAAAATTGACCATGTTCCTTCACTCTAAACTATAAAATAATTCAATTAAGTATTTTGTAATATATTTACCAATTTACTTTAACACTTACTTATACGGAAACGTTAAATGAGTACCAAGAGAAAAAACTCTTAAAATAATTTTAATTACAGACGACCAAGACAGTCGTAAAGTATTGCAAAATTAACTATATTGTAGGTACTTTAATATTTTAAACAAAAATGCAACTTGAATGGCCGTCAAGTTTTACTCACGGCTTATTATTATTTTTTAAACAAGGTTATTGCACAATTTAACATATTTGTTTTAAATATCCTTTATCAAGAAGGCTGCAAAAACTATCAAAAAGATTAATAGTTTTACTTACGGTTCCTTCACTTTTAATACGTAAAGTACCTATTTGGAATAACACGAACGGCAAAAACCGTTAAAATAAAATAGTTTTACTTACAGTTTTATCACTTCATAATAATAAAACTTTTAAATCTCACAACGATCGCTCAGATTGAGCACGTGTTGCTTCGACGGGAGTCAGAACGCCAATGAGTTAATATGGCGCTGTCAAAACTTAGGAAAACAAAAATGGCCGCGCTTCTGCCAGGTGTCGCCACTGGACCGGATACAAGGTGAATAAAAGTACGGAAACTGATGGTAATTCGACGGGAAACGGAAGTGCTATCTCAATATAAAGCTTTCAGTGACGGTCAAGTAGTTTAATAAAAATAAAATCTATGACATAGAACAATGAGCTTTGTTCTCTTGTAACGTCCTTGTTGTTGCGTTTCTCGTCCTTATTTGTGCTTTGGAAGGCAATTAAGGTCACTGTTACTTGTTGTACCGCTCGCGTCTCAAACGCTGCGGTTATTGGCCTGCAGTATGTTTTGAACAGAGCTATATTCAGGAGCTACACACCTGAGCGGCGAGACATCCGCTAGCGTGTGCTTCAACGTTCGGATCGCGCACGTTGTCCGCGGCCAGCAGTCTGAATAATGCCAACGTCGCCCGCTCGCGTCTTAAATACTGCGGTTATTGGCCTGCAGTATGTATTGAACAGAGCTATATTTAATGGAGCTACACACCTGAGCGTCGAGACATCTGCTAGCGTGTGCTCGAGTGTTCGGATCGTGCGCATTGTCCGCGGCCATAAGTCTGAATGACGCCAACGTCGTCCGCTCGTGTCTCAAACGCTGCAGCTATTGGCCTGCAGTATGTATTCAACAGAGCTATATTTAATGGAGCTACACACCTGAGCATCGAGACATCCGCTAGCGTGTGCCCGAGCGTTCGGATCGCGCGCGTTGTCCGCAGCCAGCAGTCTGAATGACGCCGGCGTCGCTCGCTCGCGTCTCAAACGGCTGCGGTTACTAGCCTGTACGTATATAGATAGAAATATGCAATAGCGCTACAGATTACAACATAAGCTCCATGTTCTGCCCAATAAAGACATTAATAGGATGACGATCTGTGATAGCAAAATTTAAATTAATAAATCATTTCTTGTCTGCGAACTAAAAAGATATGTTAGGTACTTTTCTTCATTTCATTTTAACGCTTTGTTAATTATTTTGTGCAGCAGACATACGTGTAAAGGACCTCACGACTCACGCTAGGCCTTGCTGGGCTCGAGCCAAGTGTCGGCCTTAGAGAAGTTATTTCAGAGCGTTGTCCGTTTACTCGGTTACCGCTCACGCTCAGTATAGAGTGAGTGTACCCATACAAAATATTTGTAAGTTGATCGTACTACGGCCGACGGCGGGCCCGGACCCGGCACGGTATAGCGTGAGTCATCCTTAAGACTAAGCGCGTAAAGTGAGCAAGCGATCATCTCATGGTCCTACGTAGTGATTCAAAAACTATTTACGCACGTTTTGATGATCGCGCACATATCACGCGATCATCAAAGTGCAACAATCAAATAATAATATTTTCTTTAGATTTAAACATCTAACAGTTAAATGCTTTAAATAAAAATATAATAATCTGCAATTGCTTTTACTTCTTTCAAATGTTTAAAACTTGTAAAGGTAGTTTAAAATTGTGGTTTACCTACAATGGGAAGTGATGGCTGTGGCCTAAGAAATACTAAAAGAAATTCGACCCGTTCATTAAGGTCGCGGTAGCATAATTGGTCAGTGCTTCGGAACTTGAACGCGCACCTTTCGCTATCCGGGCATAGCGGAGGGTGCGGGTTCGAGTTCCGCCTGCTGCCTGGACTATGTGAAATTTTTTCTACTAAAAATCTCTTTGCATTTGGACATATTATAGCTATTAAATGCTTAAAATAAAATTATAATACCAGTATTTTGTTTGTTCCGCACTAACCTGCCTAGCTGGTTCCTTAGCAGCGGTTCGCGCGCGCATATTTCTCTCGCGACGTGCCCCGGGGGCAGAACTAGCGCGTTCTTCGCTGCGCCTGCGCGGGGAACCGTTGTCTTGTGTGCTGCCGTAAGCTGAACGAAATAAACGATAGTGAACCTTAGGGCCGTGTATAAAAGGTAATATTAAGCACGCGCCAATCAAATTGTATTTTTCATTCGTGACGTGCCCCGGGGGCAGAACTAGCGCGTTCCTCGCTGCGTCTGCGCGGGGAACCGTTGTCTTGTGCACTGCCGTAAGCTAAGAGAACAAATTATAGTGAACCTTAAGGCCGTATACATAAAGTAATAATAAACACGCGCTAATCAAATCGCATATTTCACTCGTGACGAGCCCAGGGGCAGAACTATCGTGTTCCTCGCTGCGCCTGCGCGGGGAACCGTTGTCTTGTGAGCTGAACGAAACAAATGATAATGAACCTTAAGGACTTATACACCTATACTAATTTAAAAAAATAGGTAAAGTTTGTGAGTTTGTAGGTAATCTCTGGATCTACTGAACCGATTTTTAAAATGATTTTACCATAAGGAAATATCAAGTAGGCGCAAATCAAATTGCACGTTCTCTCAGAACTAACGCGTGTGCTGACTGCTGCCCAAATAAACGATAGTGAACCTTAGAGATTCGGTGGCGCAGAAGTTTAGCACTCTCCGTATGCGATCGTGAATCGTAATTGCCGATCTTAAATGGGTAACCAAAATGTATTGTCTTGAGATCTTCTATGCTTCGCAAGGCAAGTTAAACTGGTTTAACTTACTAGCTTCATTTGCAGTCGTTAGCACCACTCAATGCGCGTGCGCGTGCTGAATTTTGGCCCAATCTTCTTATTCCATTCATAGGGTAGGCTTGCGGCAGCAGCGGAAATAATATGTATTTTAATTAACAAATACACTTTATCCGAAGTGTTCGGATCAAAATTAGTTAAAGTTTACCGGATATTAGTACTTTTTCGTTTTCTTAAAAAAAACTATCTATTAAATTCTAGACTAGTGTTAAAACTTACCGGCTTCTTCTAGAGTTCTCTCGTGCGAGTGCTCCCTAAGCAAACCCGCTAGCGAAGCTAAGGTCGACGACGTCGGCTTACCAGCACTGGCCAAGCTGCCGCGAGTCCCAGCTGCAAATATGATATTTTCGCTAGGATTACTTTGTTCAAGTTTATTTAAAGACATTAGAGCCTAAAGCTATCTTAGTCAATATATTAAAATACTATCGTCTGCAGCGACATTTTTTTTTTGTAAAACAACAAAGTTATATGTACTCGTTATTGATAAGACACTAATAGTGGCCAATTATCTTCTTGAGCAACGACTATAGACAAGGCAGCCTGCGCAGTAGCAATTTTGCATACAAAAAAGTGTAATGCGTAAGTTTATTTGTCTGTAGTTTTTCTCAAGAAATTTTCCGTTACCTATACCGCCCCCGCTCGAGCAACACTCCCCGCGACCATAGTGACGGCCATACTGAGCACACACGCGTTACCTAGCGAGGTGCGCGACAGATGCAGCGCGGAGTGTCGCGGCGTCTGGGCGACCCGCGCGGCGCCCGCCTCGCCCCCACTCGAGCAACACTCCCCGCGACCATAGTGACGGCCATACTGAGCACACACGCGTTACCTAGCGAGGTGCGCGACAGATGCAGCGCGGAGTGTCGCGGCGTCTGGGCGACCCGCGCGGCGCCCGCCTCGGCCGCGGCCGCATCGCACGCGGTACCACCCCCGCCCCCTCCTCCGCTCGAGCAACCCTCCCCGCAACGCCGCCGGATACTGACAATACAGTACATCAACGAATTAGAAATGATATGGAAGCATTACTCTCTAACAGAGGCCGCTGAAACATGGTTCCAAACTCATACAACTAAACTTCAATACTAACGCAACAAAGACAAAACTAGTTTATAATATTTGCAAATGAGATTCGGCTATACATTTATCGGGTTTTATTTATATATATATGATGAGAGGAAATGGAAGTTATAATCACCGAGCATCGATAGATATAGACTGAGAGCCAGTGATCCGCAGACTTACGGTATAGTAGCAAACTCCATATTAATGCTAGTTATACAAATTCATCTGCCGTAGATCAAATGGGGTTTCACTATTCCCATAGAGGGTTCCTTTAGGCGTGCCGAGAAGTCGAAAAGCATGAAAATCGACTTTCAAAAACGTGATCGCAGCATGTCTGCCGTTTTGATATCTTAAAATATATATTTTTTTATATAGAAAAACTTAATGCCAGACACTTGTTCCGGTTCCTACTATATTTTATAATATATCATAGTTTCCAAAATTTCATAAAATTTACGTTATTTTAGCAAAGCTAAAAATTATATATGTTATTTATATTATTATTATACATGTATATCTAAAAAGCCAGACAGATAGGTCGGTTCTAAAATACAGGCAGACAACATAATAGTTTCGCAGTCATGCTAATGGAGATATACGATATTGACTTTCTCTCTCTTCATCTCGCAGGGATTCAGTATTCAAGCACCATTGTTAAAACGATAGACAAGGTTTGATGAATATATGCTAAATAAAACTAGTTTTTCACGGATCATTTCATTTCATTCTGACGAAGCAGCCTGTAAAGGCTGCGAAACGTCAATAAATAAATAAAGTTTCGTACATTAACCCGTGAAAAACTAGTTTTATTTAATGAGTTATGTGCGTGAAAACCTAAGAAACGAAAATATGCTATTCATTTCGGAACCTATTTGAATAAAATAATTGTTTTTCTCTGCAATTTAATAGGAATGTTATCACGCAATGAGTTTACCCTTTGCGGTCCGTTTAATATATTGTTTTATATTAACAACTGCATTATTATCAGCCTCTCTCTTCATGAAACAATAAACGTCATAAATATTTTTCTTAATTTTCTATGTTAAACCATTTCGAATTTAAAATCTTTGTGCGCGATGGTATTTTGAGAGCAAACGAAACGTGGACACAGCGCGGAAAGCAAGGGACGACTGACGAACCAATAGCGCTCCGGTAAGCATGCTGCGCGTGAGCCACCCGCCCCGCGCCGCACCTCTTACCACCAAATAGACCGATAAATCGCCTACTGCGCAGCCTAACCGCCAGCGTTCTTTTTACGTGACGCGACCTGTACTCCATTTCATTTCGTTCTGAAATTTTATTCGAGAAACACGAGTAGCGTATCTTACTGTGGATATTGTGAGTTCTATGCGATTATTTGTGCGTTGTTTTCTAAAGAATTTATTGAATATTTTAAATCATGTCAGGTGAATTAAATTGTGTTTTTTGTCATTCTAATTCTGGTGAAAGTGTACATATCTTTTCGGAAGAAACTTTTAAGAAATGTAAAACTATCTTGCGTTTACGCAAATTCCATAATTTGAAATATAGTGATGTTATTCTACCACGTGAACATTTAGATAGTGGCTATCATCGCAAGTGTTACAAGACGTTACAAGCATTGCAGAAAACTTATTATGACACCACGACATCGAGAAATAAAACCTCTCCATCTCAGCCACAGCCGTCAACTTCTGCTGATTTTCAAAATATAATTAAAGAAGTCGGTGTCGACAGTACTGTAGAAGAAGTACCAAGTCAAGAATTGGATCAACCCACTAAAGATGCAGTTGTCGAAGACGTAGTAAGTGAAACTTCAGAAATAATCAGTTTGTCATTAAATACTTATACTGAGGATGATACAATTATAGTAGATAGTCATAATACATGTTTTTTTTGCAACAAAAATAAGAAAAAACACCGCTCCAAACAACAAGCTTTACATCGAACGCAAAAAAATAAATTTCAATCCACAGTTGGAGTAAACTTAAATCTAGACAAAGAGGATGAAAAAGAAATTTTTAATAAATTGGAGAAATGGTCGAGTGACATAGTATATTATCATCATTTTTGTCACACTGAATTTTTGAATAAATTAAAGTCATCCAATAAAAAACCTGTTCAAACTGCTTGGCATATTCGGAGAAATTTACATCAAACTGTCTTCGATGAAATAAGCTTATTGAAGACAATGTAATTAATAGAGGCCGCTGTTACTTTTTATCATATTTGCATAAATTATATGTTGACAAATTTCAAAAATCAAATGATGAAAATCAAGAAATGTTAGATATAACATTTACAGCACAACATTTAGAAGACAAAATTAAAAGTAAATTTAACAACAATATTACAAATGAAACATAAAAAAGTTATAGCACCTAGAGGCATCACGACAGTCGACGATGATCTATTTGCAAATTTAAAAGACGAAGACATGTTACAAGCAGCAGCATTGATATTGAGACGCGAAATATTAATTATTATAAACAAAAAAAAGCTACCGGAAAACCTAACAGTCCAAAATTTATTAGAAGGTGAATGCTCAGCACCTCAAATATTAACAGATTTTGTGGGATCAATAATTGGAAGTAATAATTGCAGACGTAGAAAAAGCAACAATTACAAACGTCATGTCAACTCCGTGTCGCAGGATTTAATTTTTATGGTTCATAATGGAAACATAAAACCTTCAAAACATATTTGTTTAGGCATGGCATTAAAAAGCCTCACGAGCAGCAGAAAAGTTGTAGATGTACTGAATAGGTGCGGTCATTGCATTAGCTACAATACAATAGAAGAGTTAGAAACAGAGGCAACATACACATCAGTTTCACGATCAGGGTTATGTCCAGAAGTAGTAAAGAAATCAGGAAATTTATGTACTGGTGTTGCATACGACAATTTCGACAGGTTCGTTGACACAGTATCAGGAAAAGATACTCTCCATGACACCGTGGGAATAATTCGACGACCTCCGTGGCCGAGTGGTTTGTACGCCGGGTTTCATGGTGTCGCCGACTCGAGAGGTCCCGGGTTCGAATCCCGGTGGGGGCAGATGTTTGTGTGATGAATATGAGCATTTGTACTCCAGTCATGGATGTTAAAATATGTATTTCTAAAAAATATACTTATATATGTATAGTATATGTATTCTATCCGTTACCCTAGTATCCCATAACACAAGCCTTATAGTGCTTACTTTGGGGCTAGGCTAATTGGTGTGTGTATTAAAAAAAAAATTGAAAAAAAAAATTGAAATTGAAATTTTTCAAAATATAGATTTGAATGTAGAAAACGTTGTGAAAACTTCGGAAATTGAAGTAAATAAATATTATGACTTATGACTTATAAATAATGATTCAAGAAAACGACGACGAAGGACGTTTGAAGCTATATCAACAGAATTAACTTCTTATACAAAAAAACCTAGAATGAGCAGTGCATTCCATTCAGCAGTTGATGATAGCGAAAATTCATGTTCTGAGAAAATTAAACTTTATTCTCTAATAGATGCTGTATGGATGTTGAGCCATGCTCTGCGATTGCCAGATATTCCCATGTGGACTGGGTTCAACTCCAAAATCACCAATGATGATAGTCCGCAACAGCTCATTTCCTATTTAACTCCAATAAATGCATCACCAACAAATGCTGCAGTTGTTCTGGAGACAATGCTGCAAAGTATAAAAATAGCTGACGAATTGAATCAAAATTATATGCCAGTCACCTATGATTTGGCAATTGCAAAAGTTGCGCTCCAAATCCAAGCCACTGAGAAACCTACATTCGACAGGTTATTTATACATTTGGGTCCATTTCATATCATGTTAGCTTATTTCAAAGCTATTGGGAAGATAATTAATGATTGTGGGTTATCAACAATAATAACAGAAGGTGAATTATTGGCAAGTGGTTCAGTAAACAGCTTTATTAAAGGCAAACATTTTAATAGATGCAAAAGGTTGCACCCTATCATGGCTTTAGGATTACGAATCCTTCATTTCCGGTCTTTTTTACAATCAGAAAACATAGAAGTATCTAAAGATATATTATTGGAGTTGAGTAGGTTACAATCCTGTTCAACTTCATCATTTACGATAGAAGATGAACAACTCTTGGAGCTGTACGAGAATTGGGTAAAACCGCCCAATTTTATATGATGTACATAAATTTCGTTAATTATTATTTAAATTTAAGTAGAAGTATTCGAACAGGAGATTTTGAGTTATTTAAATACATATTGCCAAAGATTACCAATATATTTTTCGCTTGCAACCAGCCGAATTATGCACGCTGGACTGTAAAATATCATTACAATTTGACGAAAGTTGCAGAAACACATCCAGGCATTGAAGAAGATTTAATGAAAGGATGTTATGGAATTAAACGAACCGAAAAATCGTTTTCAAAGCAACCAATAGATTTAACGCTTGAACAGACGATTAATGCTGATGCTGGTCGGAGACTCACCGGGGTTGTGCATTTCACAAATTTCATATCTGCTCGACAACGTTGGGCAAGAAGCCATGATATTCGTTCCAGGATAATAAGTCATGTATTCGAGGAATTGGGATTTACGAAAGCAGATGATATTTCAGGCGACTTAAAACCTCATAACAAAAAGAAAAGTTGTGAACAGTTGCAGACATTTATTGATTCTTTTGATCGATATATTAATCCCTTCAGCGCAGAATTATCTCCCGATAAATTATTTAACATTTCTACCGGAAAAGCAGCCTCACCTCTCGTAGAACAATTTCTTTTAAATGTGGAATGTATTGGGAATGAGCAACGAAAACAATTTATTTCTGAGTGTATAATAGATATTATCAGATTCGAGAGGAGTATTAAAAAAACACCATTTCATAATTTTTCTAAAGAATTAGAAAAGAAAAAAAGTGTAAAAGTAAAAGTCCAAGAAATCCGACTACAACGGGATTTATTTGGACGTATGTTAGGTATTTCTATGGATCACAATGTCGATGTCATGAAGATTTTATCGTATCCCATCACTCCTGTACCTTTATCATTATGTCATTTAGATGGTGCGATATGTAAGACGAATAAATCAGTACTGGCTAAATGCCTGGAAACTGACATTAACCATGAGTCACCTCCTAATGCTGATGTTTTTGTAGTAGATAGTTTTTTTCTACTGCACACCATGAAAGAGATACCCAAAACTTTTGGCAACATTTCGAAAAAAACTTTACAAATGCTAACAAAACTTCCAGCACGAAGAATTGACGTTATTTTTGATCAATATTTTCATCCTTCGATTAAAGACAATGAAAGGTCTCTACGCCATGAATCACAAAACACAGAATTTATTATTTCTGGACCAGACCAAATTCGACCAGCTGATTTTGCAAAGGAAATGAAGAACATAAAATTCAAAGAAGCGCTAATTGACTTCTTTTGTCTTCATTGGGCATGTAATGAGAATGCACCATTTCTTAACAATAAAACTGTACATCTTAATTTCCGACAATGTTATTCATATGTCGGTAATGGAAATAAAGTCGAATCAAAGATTGTTCAGGATTTATGTTGTGAGTTGCACGAAGAAGCTGATAGTAAAATTATTTATCACGCATGTAGCATCAGTGATGAAGCCAACATCGTTATCAGAGGCTCTGATACCGATATACTTGTGATGATGCTTGGTAATATGCATAAGTTGAAAAATACTTCTTCGCATGTTTGGATGCAGATAGGAATAGGTAATAATGAACGAATCATAGATGTCGCAAGAATTCACGAACATCTAGGTGAACTAACTTGTAGAAGCTTACTTGGCTTCCATGCTTTCACTGGCTGCGATTACAATCCTTCATATTATAATTATATAAGAAAAGACCTTTCTCTTTATTAAAAAAAAACACTAGTTATCAAGAAGCTTTTGCAGCTCTCGGCGATTATAATTTAACAGAGACTAGAATAAATGAAATCTTCATTATTATTCAGGAATTTACTTGTGAAATGTATAATTTGAAGAAGAAGAAATGCAGACGTTAATGATGCCAGATTTCAGCTGTTCGTTGATACATATAAGGCTGCTGATATCAACGAACAATTTAGTATTAAAGTCCGCAATTTTGATGGAAGCAGTTTAACACTGTGCAAGAGCGAGCTGTGGCAACATTTCCTACGAACAATATACATATCAAATATTTGGAATAATGCTGATAAACGATGCCCGTCAACATTACATCCAGAAGAATATGGGTGGATTAATCATCAAAACAAATATTTATTCAAATGGTTTGATGGAGATCAGCTGCCAAGTTTTGTAGCCGATTCGGTCCAATGTCCATCAGGTAATTCAATGAAATACAATAAAATATCCTGTTACTATTAATAGAGTCGCATTTGCCATGATGTATAATGTTTTTTTTTTACAGAATCTCTGATGACGAAGGAGAAGAAAACTTGGAAGATTTGGAGTGCTGTATCGAGTCATCGGAAATCTGCAGTTCTGACGAAGAACTATTTTGATTTTTTTGTAGCCAATATTAATTTTGTTTATTCGGTATTTGAATTAAGAGTTGTTTGTTGTGCTAAAACAAAATAAATAGCAAAATTAATTATTAAAAAAAAATATTGATTTCCTAATAAAAACTTATATATTTATGATTGAAAATAAGAGTTATAAATTATAAAATTAACAAAACACTGTTCACATGTATTCATACTGATTCGCTGTCATTGCCAGTAAGAGTGAGAAAGTCAATATCGTGTATCTCCATTAGCATGACTGCGAAACTGTTATGTAGTCTGCCTGCATTTTAGAACCGACCTATCTGTCTGGTTTTTTAGATATACATGTATAATAATGATGTAAAAAACATACATAAATTGTAGCTTTGCTGAAACACTAGTTCCCTGCGAAATGAAGAGAGAGAAAATCAATATCGTAAGTATATCTCCATTAGCATGACTGCGAAACTATTATGTAGTCTGCCTGCATTTTAGAACCGACCTATCTGTCTGGTTTTTTAGATATACATGTATAATAATGATGTAAAAAACATACATAAATTTTAGCTTTGCTAAAATAACGTAATTTTTATGAAATTTTGGAAACTATGACATATTATAAAATATAGTAGGAACCGGAACAAGTGTCTGGCATTAAGTTTTTCTATATAAAAAAATATATATATTTTAAGATATCAAAACGGCAGACATGCTGCGATCACGTTTTTGAAAGTCGATTTTCATGCTTTTCAACTTCTCGGCACGCCTAAAGGAACCCTCTATGGGAATAGTGAACCACCATTTGATCTACGGTAGATGAATTAGTATAACTAGCATTAATATGAAGTTTGCTACTATACCGTAAGTCTGCGGATCACTGGCTCTTAGAATAATATGCAATTTGCTCTTTTGTTACACAATCTAAATTTAAAAAAAGATAGCGAATAGGCCGAATATACTATACTCACCGTCTCCACAAAGCGGTGACTCGTTCCTTGATGGCTGTGACTGTAACGGGTCCTCCGAGCAACGAGCAGAGCTGCGGCGAAGTGTCCGCGTATGAAGTAGTCAACGGTGACACGTATATAGGGTACCCGATTGGTTGGTCACAGGATGAGTTGATTATGTTGCGCAGCGCCTGATTACAAACAAAATAGTAATTGTTTTTATAAGGGGTTAAGCAATATAAAGGCAGCGGTGAACTTCTTGAGCTGAACCTTAGATAAATAAATTTGCGCAGTACAGTGCGACAAGGATCTTTATGAATGTGTGTCAGTTCAGGAAGGGCGCCACTGTCTACGTAAATTTCCTTTAATGACATAAAAAATATGACGTTAACAAAGACGGCGGCGTTAGTTCTAATTTTTGCCACAATTATAAAGATCCTTGTCGCACTATAGACGTTTTTGTATGTACAATTGCTACTGCGCATGCTCTCTTGACCACGGTTGTTGTTCAAGAAGTCTGCCGTGGTCTATACTTTACATCACCTAATGAGCTAGTGTTGAAGATAGGCGATACCGCAGAAAAGTGTAACACTTCAACCAGCCTCCCTTCGTGTATTTTAACATACCTTACTCACCAACAAAAACCCAACAACAAATTGACATAAGCGACGTAGCGACACGATGTTCGTTTTGGTGTAGCTCAAGCCTAAAAGTAACGCAATTTTCCTCGAGTGACTAGTGATTTCATTAAAAGCTTATATTAGAGTTCTTGATGGCTGTCCAGCCCCATGTCCCGGTTTAACTTAATCACTCGAAATCCCAAATATAAATTTATAAACAATACAATAGGCTACAGCTTATTCCGGCACTTCACTTGGTTATTCATATTTGATATTTTTAAACTTGACATCAGTCTGTCATTTTCATTCCTTATAAAGCATGATACCTGCGTTAGATATAAGACTCAAAAACATTACTCACCTGCTTAGCATTTTGTATAGACCCTCTTTCCGGGTTGCGGTTCCTCAAGTAGACTAATTCCTGTTGTTGTCCGGCCCAAAGACCACGCACACATTCCCGGTTCAACTTGATGACTCGGAATCCTAAATGTCGCTTGTTCAACATTATTATCTTGTAGTCGTCGTTGCCTTCATCCATCACGTGTCTGCAAGGCAGAAATGTTTTTTTTTTTAATAAAAGATTTTGAGTACGTTTAACCACAATCGCACCTGTTGTTAAGCATCGAAGTGGTCTAAGCTGGAGCATGCAGACTCAAATAATGCCTATTTACCCTTGGCTTGAAGATCCCTATCTATATTATATTATTTGCTTTTGAAGTGATAAATTCTTATGGGAGGATAAATTGCTTCGTTACGTAACGCGTTTCGGCGCCACTCTGCCTGGCTTCCCTTCCTCTCACGCATACGGCCTACGCTAAATGCCTCAATCCACTGGCTTTGGTTTTGTTTGTTCATCATCGTATACAGACCTCAGCGCCAGTAGATGCGGCGCTCCCCGCAGTACGTTGTATCGCCAAGCGGGCGCCGCCTCGTGGCAGATCACTAGACGTTGCGCGTGCGACGCTATCGCCTTGTACAAAGCGGAGCTGCTGCAATACTCCTCGGGGAACATGAAGTGGTCCTGCATGGGGAAAATTTAACTTATGTAATGGTAAAATGTTTTTTTTAATGTTAAATATTAACCTATCTTGAACGAGATAGGTTAATATTAAACATTCGCTGATGACATTGCTTTAGTCGTACCATGCACGGATAAGTTGACATACACTCGGCGTCAAAAAAATCGCACCTCCGCGGAAATAACTTTCAAGCGTTATTAACCCTTAAGCATTTAACTGCTAGATGTTTAAATGCTTAAAAATAAATAAAAACATAACTATAATTTCTATTTCTTCTTTCAAATATTTAATACTTGAAAAAGTATTCATTGACATTGTGGGTTACCTACAATGCGAAGAGATGGCGCTGCCTTGCAGCTTAAGGCTAGGAAAATTTCGACGCGGCTAATAGGGCCGTAGTAGCATAATGTTCAGTGCATTCGCCCGGATTGCGAAGGGTGCGGGTTCGAGTCCCGTCCGCTGCCTGGTCCGCGTGGTTTTTTTTCTAGTAAAGTTTTCTTTGGATTTAAGCAATATACATTTATTTAAACAGCGACAAGAAAATTAATTATTTAATGCGAGATATCCTTATCGGCTGTTTTTCCCTAATAGTAAGACGGCAATTTGCTCTAAAAACTCATATTTTATGTGCGTAAAAATCTGTAATCATTTGCTTTGCATGCATTTATAATATGAGATAAAAAAATTAGCATTCAACTTGTTTAAACGTAAATCACATGCCCTGGCTTGTCGAAAAAATATTTTATAATATTAGCGACTATTTTTTGAGTTGTAATTAATTATTATTTATTTTAATACAATTATTAGTGAAGGTATGTGAATCATTTTAAATAATGAAAATGAAATTGTTGACTTACAAGAAATTAATATGCGTTGTATAGTGCCTGGGGCATTCCACGCGAAGCGGACAGGTAAAAAAACTCGATGTTTCCGATTTTAGTAATATTTGAGTATGTTCTACTTATACTTACTATTGATACGTGTACCAAATATTTTTGTGATATAATGACTAGTTAAAGAGTAATGGGACTTTGAAGTTTTCGACAACCGGTTGGCATGCAGTACTTCAAAGCCGATTATGGAGTCATAAAATTATATATTAAAATAACTAAACTACTGGATTTCTTACTTTATTTACTGGGCTTTTTAACTGTGTTTTTGGAAAAGCAAAAAAAAAAAAATTTTTCGTAAAAAAAAACCAATTGAAGTTTTTTTTTTGATTTTCACTAAGTTAGACCATTTAGTTTTCTTTTATTTTTTTTATATAAATTGCTAATATTGTATAGAATATTGGTGCCAACTTTTATAATGGGCGTGGAAGTGGATTGGGAGCTAGACTGAAAATACTGCCGTAGGGTGGCGTCCAGCGCCGCGACGCGGCACTTGTGAGTAAGCAGATTAATGCATCTAACCCGTAAAAATTGTTTTATTCAGATTATTTTTTTTCTTTAGTAGTTAGATATTTTAAATAAAACAAATTATCTTCTATGATTAATTACTTTATTTACAAATTTTTGCAATTTTAAATGCTTCACTGTTACTCGTGCGTTTAATCATAATACCTTCAGTAGTGGGAATAAAGGCATGATACTTTTTTGTGCCTGGTATTGTCGCTACCGATTCAAATCTGCTCTTTAAAAACAATCGGTTTTGTTGAATGTCCTCTTTTGGAGCATATAAAACGTGCGTTTGGGGCATTGATGTTTTCGCCCATTGGTACAAACGCTCGGGTGTAGTGATCGCTTTGTCTGACGCCGACTGTAGACTAGCTCGAGTTGCCAAACGTTTCAAGTTGCCCCCAAGTCCATCACATGGCCCTTTGCCATGAGAAGTAGCATGAAAATGAAACTCTGCCTCTGTACCGAAATCCTGTTTAAAATAAAACAGGTTAATAAAATTAAACCTGTTTTTGAAGTGCTGGGGTGCACCATCAGTTACGTAAATATATTTATTGGTTGATATATCCTTTTCTTGTAAATGTTGATGTAAAATTTTTTGGAAGGTATAAAACGTTGCAGTGTCATGTTTTAGGTCATCCGATATCATTACAATACTTCCGTGTTAACTCTTGCTCCTTTTTGTAATAATACACAGATGTGAGGAGAGTAGCCTGGTCGTTACTCCAGTGAAATGCCTGGACAGCGTCTTGAACTACGAAGCTGTAGTTTTCAGCAAAATCGCACTGAATGATTATGTCAATCGACTCTTTTAATAATTTAAAATACCGAGTTTGCTGATCTGATATGTAGGCGTGAGGTTTTAAAGCGTCTAATCCTGAGCAAAGACTGTCGACAAATTCATCAGAAGGAAGAACTTGAGTGGCGATTGTGAATCGGTCTGTACCAACCCATGTATTAAACTGCACACTAGTCACTTGATTTGCGTCAAATATATTTCGTAAGTGTTCCCGAATTCCGACAAGGCCAGGGCAACTTTGGCATTGTTCGTTCAGTGACGATTTTCTTGTCATTAAATTGCAAGTTGGTGTCGGATCTGGACACATCATCTTTTGCAAGCAATCCTTGTACGATAATAGGGGGATAGCAGTCTCAGAAGTAAGTGATGCAATATCCCCCCCGATTAGCATCAATTTAACATTTTGATGGTAAATACACACGCAGACTATATGAGTACCCGAATCACCAGCAAGAATGCACTGCTTAGGACGTAATGAAAAAAATTTTGAAAGGCCTACTTTTGTGTTAGGGTATTCCAATTTGAACTGTTGATATAATTCATTGATGTTACACAATAATAGCTGTTTTTGTAATTGGACTCTTTGGCCATCATGTAGCTTAACAGACACAAAATCTTTTTTCCCAGGCATTATTCTAGTGTTATCCTCTCTAAGATAAAATTTAGAAACTAAATCTACAACTTCTGATGTTAACTTGCGGCCCTCTCGTGGATTAGGCGATGATAAAATACCGTTCTGCTCAACCAGTTCCTTGGCTTTTTTTGCTTGCCGTCTAGAGGTATTGAATTCATCAGCAAGTTTATTTTCGCTCCATGATTTAGGTGCTAAGGTGAGAATCATCGTTTTCTCAGAAACAGACGTAGAAGGGTCATTAAATTTCTCTTTCAATTGCAAAAGTATTTCGTTGTCAATGGATTTTATGTCGTTTGTCTGTATTGACTTCGTAAGCGTATTTTCTTCCGGAACATAACACGAGACTTGTGAATTTTGGAGTGATGATTGGCTTGCTTGGCTATTTAGGATAACATCATCAATAATTAAGGGTTCTTCACTAGCAAGACGGTCTCTACACTGCTTACACACATAATAATTAACGTTTTTATTTGTAATTGACCACTTTTCTGCTAGCACTTGTGATAACTTCCTCAATCCTTTAGTTTTTCTATGTACAGGTAAATTAAACGGATTATAACATCGATCCCCGTAAGGACTCATGATATTCAAATGTTTTTAATAGCGATACAATCTCACAGAACTAACAAAGTCACTCTCACGCGTCACAAAATTACGCGGTAAAATTGTCAAACATGGCGCCATCACTAACTTTTTTTGAATATTATGGTCTGGATACAAGCCCTTTAGGCCTTATTTCATACACATATTGTGGAGAATATAAAAATGTATATTTATAATTAAAAGTGTAGTTGTAACATATTTTAGTACTTAATAAGCATTAAAAATGTATTGGTTTTCTTAAAAATCTACAAAACATTCCATCAAAAGTGATTTTATTTGATTGACGGTTTGATGACTAATCGCGCACAAGCGGTGGTCAACAGGCGCGGCGCTGGACGCCACCCTACGGCAGTATTTTCAGTCTAGCTCCCAATCCACTTCCACGCCCATTATAAAAGTTGGCACCAATGTTCTATACAATATTAGCAATTTATATAAAAAAAATAAAAAAAAACTAAATGGTCTAACTTAGTGAAAATCAAGGAAAAAAACTTTAATTTGTTTTTTTTACGAAAAAAATTTTTTCTTTTGCTTTTCCAAAAACACAGTTAAAAAGCCCAGTAAATAAAGTAAGAAATCCAGTGGTTTAGTTAATTTAATATATAATTTTATGACTCCATAATCGGCTTTGAAGTACTGCATGCCAACCGGTTGTCGAAAACTTCAAAGTCCCATTACTCTTTAACTAGTCATTATATCACAAAAATATTTGGTACACGTATCAATAGTAAGTATAAGTAGAACATATTCAAATATTACTAAAATCGGAAACATCGAGTTTTTTTACCTGTCCGCTTCGCGTGGAATGCCCCGCCTAGTTAATATTTTTTGACATATTATTGAATCTGTAATTTATTAAGATTTTTTTAATTATTATACAAATGGCTATTAGGGCTATGTCAATCAATTTACATAGTAAAAATTAAAAAGTTGACTTGCATGAAATTAACGTATATTGTACCTACTGATGATGAGGTGTGGTGTGATGTGATTATCTTTTGACATTTTATTTTATTTATGTATTGGTTATAAAATCAACATAACATATATTTAAAATCTATATTTCAATTAGTTTTTGCATGCTGGAAACGGCTACTTGTGCGCTCTGACCTAATTATTTAAAACCATCATTGTAACCACAATTAAAGCAAATTAATTTCATTTAATTTCAAGAAAAGTTTAGAATGACTTACAAACGCTTACAAGCATGTGGTATGTGTTCGTAAGCAAACAATTACTTATCGTAGTTTTCTTTTACCTGTATATTAACAACGTGGATATTTTAATTGTGATAAGTATATAATTTAAATAATAATTTTCAACGGAAGTTTTTATGAAAAAGTTTTGTTACTTAAATTTTATCATTTATCTATATATTTAAAACTCAAAGGTGACTGACTGACATAGTGATCTATCAACGCACAGCCCAAACCACTGGACGGATCAGGCTGAAATTTGGCATGCAGGTAGATGTTATGACGTAGGCATCCGCTAAGAAGGATTTTGATCAATTCTACCCCGAAGCGAAGCGAGGGCGGGCCACTAGTCAACCATAATGATTTAAAAACGCCGACGTAAGCCTTCGTCAACGTAAAAGTAGAACCTAAATAATTCTTTTTATGATGATTTTCCGCAAAGCAACTAATTAGTATATTCATAAATGAATCACCTGATGTAGTTTTAAAGCCATCCGTATAGCTGGCGCGAGCACAGAATGCAGTAGCGACATGTCAGTAAACACCCATTCGTCGCGCGCGCAAGTGATCCTAAAATCGCCCTTGAACAGTGAATGCAGGCCGTAAAGGAAAAACTCCACGCTGTAAAAGAGAAATAGAAGATTTAAAGCAAATAAGAGAGAAAGTCATTACCTTTAAGAACTAATGCTTAAGGCCTCATTCTGATGCTATGTTTTACCATAGATTTTTGTTAAGGTATTTATTTTATGTTTATGCAGGCAAACGAGTTGGCAGTCTACCTTATGGTCACTTGCAGCTAGGGTTATCAATAAATAAATAAAGTTTCGTGCATTAACCCGTAAAAACTAGTTTTATTTAGGGTTATCAACTTTTTTTCTATCAAATATAGTATTTTCGAAGCTGTTACCTCTAAAAATATAGAAAATAGCAAAAAGTTGGAAAAAATATAATATGTGGTTGAAATATCTACTTATTTTTTAAAATGAATATACTTTTCTCTTCCATACCTCAATATATTTTATTTTTTAGAACGCTTTTACTGGCTTAAATCTGCTTTAAGCAAAATATAGTAGTTTCGCCATATAGTATTTCGAAATATAGTATTTGATCCCCTGATATAGTAGGGTACTATATTATATTTAAAAAAACACCCCTTGCTGAGTTTCTTGCCGGTTCTTCTCAGTACAAGGTCTCCCGCCGTAGATTTACGAACCGATGGCGTAGCTTCTAGACATTCATGAGTGCTTGTAACAGCCTAAACTGAATAAATGATTTTGATTGATTGATATGGTAGGGTTGGCAACCCTACTTGCAATAGGGAGGGAGGACACGGCACGATGTCACCATTGCGCATCCGAACTCGACTCGGCCCAGCATACGCTGACGGATTGTCCCGCTTGGGACTCCGAACGTCGAGTCTTGGTCGGAGAAATCGGGCAAGATCCTTCTCCACCAGCATTGATTGCGGCAATGCTGGCGGATGAGGGAGGTTGGAGGGCTGCGGCCTCCTTCTATGAAGCAGTGATGCTCCAGAAGGAGGCCGCCGAGCGGGATCGGGAGATGGCTGATCCCGCCCGAAGGAGGCGGCGTCGGGCCAGATAATGGCCTGATGCGTGAGCACGACGTAGCTTGCTTGCTCATGGAAGCGACCTGGGTGGGACGACACCCCCGCATGGCCGGGTGGTGCCGTCGTAGGAGGGTGATGGGGGAGGTTGCGAACACTCCCCCGAGAAGGGCTCCCCTGGTGAAAGCTGACGGCCCACCCTGCAGGTACCTGGAGGCGGCCAGGTGCTGCGCGGCGGCGAGCGCCCGGCGCCCCACCAGGCTGAGCGCGAAGCACAGCGTCACGAGCGGCGAGTCCTTGGCGGCGGCGCGTCTTCTCCACCCGGCGCCGCGGCGTACGCCGCAATGAACTATCCATTCCTGGTAGATCGCGCAAAATCTGCTCCTAAAACGATAAATAATTAGTAGGATAAAGTCAAAGATCAATACTTGGTGTTACTTTGGCTTATAGTGTTTGTGAATGGTGAGGCGAGCTTTCCACCACTGAACCACTGAGGTTTGTTGATTAGGTCTGAATTTGTTACCTAAACTAAATGAATAAAAGCAAAATAAAATTAATGAATAACCTTTAGTAATATATTGCAACATGCTAAAGATGAACGAAAAAATTTCTGCCGATGTAAATAAAAATTTTACTTTAAAAAATATAGTTCAAATTATCCATTTTGCATAATTTTAACTATTAAACATAATAATAAAATCAATTGCCTACTTAATTATTACGATTAGTAGGATACATTCTAACTCATTAACTAAAGATAATACTTAATCGCAAAGTTTACCTCGTTATACCAGACGCGCGAAAGTCATAATCTTCGTCCAAATTGACATTAAATATCGGATCCAAGTCTACGAATGTCCTCTCGTTCATCGGCTTTAGAGCTTCCGCGAGCACCGGCGATGACAACCACTCCTCTAATTTGTTCGACTGGATAGTGTAGTAGATAATACTCTGTAAAAGAAATTATAAATTAAAGAAAACTCAAGTAGAAAGAAATCCACTGTGTCCAGGTTTAAGGCAGGATATAAAAGCGGATAATAAGAAACAAAATCGAAATAATTTGAAACACGAACTGTACTAAGAAGTTTTCCACGCAAACTGCGATCATGTGGGCGGGGCGAAAAAAACGCGATCAACGCGCTGCTTATAATGGAGAATCGCCGCATTGATCCGATCGTTAATATTTTGCATCGAGGTGTTTACAGCGGATATACCTGCAGCCATCATCAGCCTATTAATGTCCCCACTGCTAGACACATGTCTTTCCTATGTATGGAATAGGGAGATTGGGCCATGCCCCACCACAGGGGCCTAGTGCGGATTGGTGAGTGCTTACGACTGCAGATGCAGTCGGAACCAACGGCTTAACGTGCCTTCCGAAGCACGGAAGAGCTTGTGATGATAAATTTTCGGTCACCCTTCCAATGACCGACCGCAGTGAAAGTTGCTTAACTTCAAAGATTGCAGCCGAACGCGCTAACTACTTGCGCCATCGAGCTCCTGAGTCACCTGTAGTCATCGTAGTGTATACACTTACCTTGACTTAGTAAGTGAGCAGTACCTTCCTGAAGTCGAAACGTTTGGCACCTGGATACGGCACTGTTGTCGCTCACACTATACCCCTCCAGAACGTGGTGAGAATTGCTCATTAATGAATCGCTATACCTGCAGTCACCATACTTTAAATAGGTACTGACCTTGACGTAGTAGGTTAACAGCACCTTCCTGAAGTCGAACACTTGCAGCATTGATACGGCGCTGTTGTCGCTGACACTGTACCCTTCTAGTACGTAACGGGCGCTGGCTAATTGCCAAGCTAGCCAACGTAACGCCCAAGCGGCGCCGGGGGCTAACACTCTACCACCGCACCACCATAGCCCAGTGCATAAGCCTTCTGAAATACCGAGTTGCGATTTAAAACTTCTGTTGAGGAGGCAAAGATCTTAAATTCTACTTTTATTATAAATATAAAATTTTGTACATTTGTGTGTTTGTTAATTGCCACGCTAGCCAACGTAACGCCCAAGCGGCACCGGGGGGTAACACTCTACCACGGCATCACCATAGACCAGTGCATCAGCCTTCTGAAATACCGCGTTGCGATTTAAACTCCTGTTGAGGAGGCAACGATCTTAAATACTACTTTTAATAAATATCAAAATTTGTATATTCGTGTGTTTGTTAATTGTCATGCTAACTAACGTAACGCCAAAGCGGTGCCAGGGGCTAAGCCTCTGTTATCGCACCACCATAGCCCAGTGCAGAAGCCTTCTGAAATACCGAGCTGCGATTTAAAACTCCTGATAAGGAGGCAAAGATCTTATATACTACTTTTAATAAATATCAAAATTTGTACAATTGTGTGTTCGTTAATTGCTACGCTAGCTAACGAAACGCCTAAGCGACACCGGGGACTAACACTGTATCACAGCACTACCATAGCCCTGTGCATAAGCCTTCTAAAATACCGAGTTGCGGTTTAAAACTCCTGTATGTAAATTGCCTTCTGTACTACCTATTTCTTGGTATAATATTTTTCACATTTTTACATATCTATCTACAAATTTTGATTTGAAATAGTTATTTTCTAAACTATCATGTCATTGTTTGATTCGGTGACGATATTTGCACTGTGCATGCACTCGCGCTAATAAAGAAACTTATCAAAAATGTTGCCCAAAGACATTTCATCCCGCTCGCACATTTTACAAAGAATATTAAGCGATCATTTTCATACCTTAGTTCACTGACCCTCAATTATTAGTACAGTAGAAAAGAGCTATCATTTAAACAAAAAAAAGGCTTCCTTACATATTTGTAAGTACGCAACATACTTAAGCAATAGACTTGAGTTTGGTTTAAATTTCAAATCGATACCTCCATGCGTTCCCGAGATAAAGGGTCTTGACAGACAGGCCGGCCAGATAAACGGCTGTATCTTTTTTATTATTATTTAACTAAGAAGTTTAATTTTTACACAGCTTCAAGAGACTTTTTATAGACCTGAATATATGGTTTGAATTTCATAGCAATTTCCCTACGAGTTCCCGAGATAAAGGGTCTTGACAGACAGATGGAATACAAAGTGATCTCATAAGGATTCCGTTTTTTTTTTGAGGTAAGGAAGCCTAAAATTATGAATGATGTAATGGAAGGTGACTTCAGACTTATCTCTGAAGTCATTTTTCAACTTGACAACTCGTTAATAACAATAAAGGAAAAAAAAACAGTTTGTTGCTGAGTTTTTTGCCGGTTCTTCACAGTACAAGGACTCGCGCCGTAGTTTTGCGAACGATGGCGTAGCTTTTTGACCTTCACAAGTGTTTGTAACAGCCTAGACTGAATAAATGACTTTTCATTTTATTTCATTAAAAGGATCTATATTTATTTATGTATACTTGCCACTGCTCTCCTCCGGCCCCTCTGATATAGCCTCCACCTCCCTTTGTTGGCAGTAAGTGCCCCGGAACTCTAGCCCTCGCAGTTGGAACGATACTAGTCCATTGCCCATTTCTACTATATGCACCAAACAGTTTAAGTAGTCCGACGCTAACACTGAAATAAGTAAATAGCAGTATAAATGTCGGTGGTTCATCATCATCATCAGCCTATTAATGTCCCCACTGCTGGGGCGCAGGCCTTCCCTATGGATGGAATAGGGAGATTGGGACATGACCCAGCACGCGGGCCCAGTGCGGATTGGTGGGTGCTAGCGACTGCAGATGCAGCCGGGACCAACGGCTTAACGTGCCTTCCGAAGCACGGAGGAGCTCGAGTTCGTAAATTTTTGGTTACCCATCCAATGATCGACCGATGTCGGTGGTTGATTGATACTATTCGTAAATGTAGAATTGTCCATACTAATATTATAAATGCAAAAGCATCTGTCTGTCTATCTATGAGGGATTTGGTGCAGAGATAGTTAGAGTCGCGGGAAAGGACACAGATAATTTTATCCCAATAATCATCTTTTAAGATGGTGAAAACGGGGTGGAAGTTTGTATGGGAAATTAATTGAACCACGCAGGCGAAGTCGCGGATTCCGACTTCTATGGAAATAAATATGAGAATTTTTGAAACAAGCTATTCAAAGAGGTGAAAATGTTTGACAGCAAATGCCGCGGGGACTAAAAGCTTAATGTGCTTAACAAAACACGGAAGAGCTCGAGATTTCACAGTCGCAGACAGAAAGTGCTAATCTACGCCGTCGAGCTCTTCGAGGCTATAAGCTTATTAATGTAGTTGGGGCACAGGCCATCCTTATGGATGGAATAGGGACATTGGACTAAGACCCACCATGCGGGCTCAGTTCGGATTGGTGGGTGCTGATTGCAGATACAGCCGGCTTAGCATGTCGTCCGAAGCACGGAGAGGCTCGAGATAGTTAATTGATTGGTCACCCATACAATGACCGACCCCTGTGAGAGTTGCTTAACTTTAACGATCGCAGCTGAACACGATAACCACTTGCGCGATCGAGCTCCTCGAGATTACAATTGCGCTGATGTTAAGCATGAAACTAGAATGAATGATTTATTATTTACCGAAACAATCTCCTTGTTGAACTTGGCCCCAACGACCGAGCATCAAGTCTCCACATAGATAATGTTGCAACGAACGGGTCAAGTGCTCGTAGAATATGGAGTTTAGGTTATTATCGTCTGAAATCAAGTATAGTTTAGCTATTGTCTACTATTAGGTTACCATAATGAAAGAAACCGCGGGTAACACCGCTAGTTTATTATATAATGGGGTAATCTCAGTTTGAATTTGTATCTATTTACCTATAATTTTTGTGAAAAATTAATTAAAGTCGGCTACAAGATAAGGCCACAAGTAGTGCATACGGTATTTATGTCATCGCTACTGCAACTTTCGGCTCTATTAATTATTAAGCCATTTAGCCTTATGGAAGGGGGAAAAGGTAAATTTCCCACTCCCACTTTCCTCAAAACTTTGTAATAATATAACGATAAATATAGATATATTTATATCAACAACTACGGTTTACTTTGAACAGGATAAAATACATTCATTTATATTTGACGACCCCCGTGGCCGTCGTGTGGTTTATACGCCGAGTTTCAAGGTGTCGCCTACTAGAGAGGTATAGGGTTCGAATCCTGGTGGGTGCAGATGATTGTGTGATGAATACGAGCATTAATACTCCAGTCATTGATGTGTAATATATGTATTCTATATAAATATATTTATTTATGTATCAGTATATGTATTCTATCCGTTACCCTAGTATCCTATTTACACAAGCGCTTACTTTGGGTTAGGCTAGGCTGGTTTGGTTGTTGGAAATATATATTTATTTATTATACCACTTCTAATCTTTTTTGTAAAAGTTAGTCCGTTAGTATTTCTATATTCACTATAAAAAAAATATTCGAAAAAAGGAATCACACCTTAAGTATCAATAAAAAAAAAAATTACCTGCTCCGAGATTCCTTTCGAGTTGCGAAGACAGTCTCGTGTTGCTCTGGTCCACTCTCTTCGTGTTGTAGTCGCGTTCCCAAAACTTTACGGGACGCACGTATGACGTCATAAAGATTGCGCTACCTGTCATATGAAATGGACCATTTTTCATATTTTTTAACCATGTAACTGCTCGATGTTTAAATCTTATGAAAATATAGCTAGAAAAAATTCGACGCGGACCAGGCAGCAGACGGGACTCGAACCAGCATGTAACTGCTCGATGTTTAAATCTAAAGAAAATATAACTAGATTTTTTTTATTGCTAATTCTAATTTCACCCGTGCGAAGTCGGGACGGATTGCTTGTATGTATTATTAACGCGAAAGTCACTTTGTCTATCTTGTAAGTTACGCATTTACGCTTAAATGTCTGAGCTAGTTTCGATGAATTTTGATTTGGAGATATAGATCTCGGTGAAAGACACAGCCTTCTTTTTCCCCACTCCCCACTTGACAATACGGTAATTTGCTGCTTCTAGCATAAAAAAAAGTTAGCAGCAACGTAATAAAATGCATTAGATGAGCATGCAGACGGATTTGTTTATAAAACTTAATCATTGTGAACTTAAGGGTTGGTTAGTAGCTTTAAAAAATAATAATATAAAAAACAAAAAAAAAAACACTTTTATTAACTGCACTAAAAAGTCAAAAATAAACAAAATATACTCTCTGTTTACTTCATTAGAGCCTTAGACTAAGCCATGTTTATAGTATATTTCAATATTTATATATCACTGAAAAAGCGTGGTTCCTTTCAGAAAGTATAGATAATGAAGAAATAAAAGAAAAGATGACACACATAATTGATCTTTTAAAATCTAGTGTTACAAACAAGATCTTGACACACAAGAAGAAATATTCAGAAAAGATATCATCAATGATAGGTATTTTCCTTTATATTAGTGTAAACTGCCAGTCATTGGACACTCAATAATTATTAGAAAATCAAATCATCAAAATCCATACGATACGATTTTTTTGAGTGTGTATGCTGTTGGTCGTCCTTTACAGCGTCACCGGGTTGGGGGACGGCGAGATCCTAAGGGGACCTCAAGCCGAGAATTGGCGAGTGCCCCTAGAGGTATTCCAGGCGGATGGCATCTCCCCACGGGGGGGGGGGTCTCCTCTCCGTCTGGAGCCTTTAGACCACTCGAACCTGAGGGCTCGGCTTAACTAGAGGGCGTCTCTGAGACTCGAACCTCGGCTCTAGTTAGCCGTTGTCGTGGGGGGCAGGGAACCGCGGCCCGACTGTTGGTCGGGCATTGTATATATGGGTGTTAGTCTCCGAATTTTACTTGCGCGATGTAGGCTTCCATAATACGAAAATTCAAAACTGCGCGATGCAAAACATATAGTGTCTTGCCTCTAGCTTTCAACTATTACAGTTGAAATATATCTGGACTCCAGCGAGTTCCAACTTGTTACAAGAAAACAAAAATAGCTTGGATTTATTTTTTTATATTACGCTTAGGACCGATTCGGATAATTGGCGATTCGGTTAATCGGCGTTCTACTGTATTGTGATCGCAGTGCAGGTAGCGCCATCTCTTGGGGAGGCGATTGATTATTTTCTCCGTATTAGTTATATGTGGGGCATGTAAATGTCGCCGCCACAAGTTATTGGAAAATCAAATCATCAAAATCCATTCGACCCGATCTGCTCGGATGATTACGTCACTCGACAGGTCACTCACCCAGCGCCGGAGTGAGAGGGGACGAGAGTAGCGCTGAGACAGCCGCCTGCAGGAACAACATGGCGGAGTGCGGCACAGAGAACGGTTGCGCGAATGCATGGAACGCGCTACCCCACGTAATCTGCCACGGCGCTATATACGTCACCACAAATTGAATCTAAAAATTTCAAGTCTTTGTTAACTTCAAAAACCCATAATTATTGAAGTGAAACTTCTTTAGGCACGCTTGACTTGGGGGTTAACTGGCGAATGTGTGATGATTTTTGCGTTACGCGCGTAACGCGTAACCGGTGACTCATCGGTGAACAAAGAACAATACCCAAAGAACAAAGTGGTTAAGTTAAATAGTAAGTTGATGATCAGGAATTTCTGTACGCATCTCGATGCCGTAAGGTTGGCGCGTAAACTGAGCATTTGTCTCTATTGTCATTATATAAACAGTGCATAGGACCTTGTCATAGCAACGTATTCGGGGAATTTGCACATAATAATATGATATCCTTTTGCAGACCGATATTCGACCTCAGGTGGATCCCAAACTAATGTCACTGTACAGGTCCCTGTATCTCGTAGACTACATCCATACTAATATTATAAATCCGATAGTGTGTCTGTCTGCTATCTCTTCAGGCACAAACCACTAAACCAATTTAGATGAAATGAATAGTTGTCACATAATTTTATCTTAAAAATCTAAAGGATTTAAAAGGGGTTGGAATTTTGTATGAAAAACCAATAAATTATACACACACGAAGTGGCGGGCACCCCTTAGTAAATAATATTATTTAAATAGTACGTAAGTACATCCATGCAGCTGCTAACAAATAGTAATTATCTCAACAGATAGGGGTCGATTCTAGGGTCTAATTCTGGCACTTCACTTGGCTATTTGCTATTTGTAAACTTTACATCAGTCTGTCCTTTTCATTCCTAATAAAGCATGATAAGGACAGATTGTTGTCAAGTTTACAAATAGAAAATACGAATATCCAAGTGAAGTGTCGGTATAAAATTAATAAACTGTGCAAATGTAGCGTTAATTTTAGTCTAGCTGATCTATACTATATATGAAGGCATCGTGAAAAGAAACCATAACCAGTAAAGTTTTGACAATTTATCAAAAGAATACAAATCAAATAAATACATAAAAAACTACACATATATGCACATAATATTACATACCTTTAACAAAAATTCATACACTTTACTGAAGATAATAGCGGTGATGAAATAATCGACAAGAAACGTCTCAGATATATGCTTAGCACTGAGATCCCTTTGGAAGAGCAAGAAAGCAAACACTAGGATCAAATATTGAGAATCGGGCTCTGAGTAGGCGTGTCTGAGACCTGTAACAAATATTATTTATTGTTTATAAGAGGGTTGAATTAAATAAAAATTATACATAACACTTTTTTTAGCGAAAATTAATACCACCTTCACAAAAACAAAGCCACTAATAATTAAGAAATATTACGTTTCTTTACTTAAGTCTAAAGTACCTTTAAAATCAACTTAATATTTTATGTAGGTGCCATGCCAACTCAAGTGGTAAATGGAAACTCAGATCTATCAGACATGCATGGTTCCGAGTCCAAATATTGATTTGACTTTTTAAATTACTTTAGACTTATGTCAAGAAAATGTATTACTTCTTAATTTTCAGTGGTTTTGCATTTATGAAGTTAGATTTATTATTATTAAAAAAAGTTTCATATTGCATATTTTATAAGCAACAGCAACATCATCTTGCTAAATATGGATGTCCGGCCTGAATCTCACTCTTTCATTTTCTTAACATAACCAAACACGATATGTGTACTGTACGTATTTGAGGAGTTCGGTTGTTTATCTCCGAAAGTATTAATCAGATCTTCACCAAAATAAATATAGTACTCGCTAACAAACTCTTCTAAACAAAAGAAGAATCATCAAAATCAGTCAACAAACCTCAGAGATATGCGCGAACAACAGTAAAAAATATATAATTTCTATAATTTCGAATTGCGAACTTCCCTCTTTTTGAAGTCGGTTAAAAATAACGTCAATTTATATCTCCGTTCCGCAGTAATATTAATGTTTTCAATATAGCAAATGTTATTACAGTGGATTTCGGGTATAACGACGATGAAAGGACCAATCTATTTTCGTCGTTAATATCAGAAAGTCGTTACAGGCAAAGTACACATGTATAGTTTATATTCATTTTTAAATTATTTCCGCCTTCTTTAACAGTGAATATGCGTCTAGCAGCTTTACTTATTCAAAAGTTTACTTAACACAGTTGCTACTTAGAATGTCACTTTGTTACTGAACCATAAATTTGTCTCCGAAACGTACATGCTTCCCTACCTACTTATCTGGTATCTAATAAATGAAAGGTAAAGGTCTCCACACTTGCTGGCAATCTGTGATTTTCTTGTTTCTGATTGTGAAAGCAAGAAATCTTTGTGTCTTTGGCGGCCGACTCAGGTCGCAATATCTGCATGGAATTTCTAGGAATTTGTTACAAATGATTCATTAAAAACAGTCGCTACACCCGAACTCAGCGTCACATCCTAAGTCGCTATAGCCACATGAATTTTGTACTAAAGTATGCTTTAAATTCAAGGGACTAAGATTTAAAGTCGCTGTAGGTAAAAACAACCAAGACCGTAATAAATGAAATCCACTGTACTTACATTTCAATGCGCAAACGCATATGATGAGAGCGCCAACCGCATCCCCATATTTCGCCGCGATAGATGGTGCGTCTTGCGTAATCGCAGCTACTACTACTGCCGGGTACAACACATTGCGTTCCAAAAAACACAAATATACGAATATCTGTAAAGAAATATTCCTGGATAGATTAAATACCTCCAAAACAACTTCTTGGCTTTTTGTGTTTGCTATTTGAAAAATTGACATCAGTCTGTCCTTTTCACTCCTTATAGAGCGTAATTAGGAAAAACTTTTCATGTTTACAAATAGCAAATACGAAGAGCCAAGTGAAGTGACGGCGACTTACAATCGATCGAACGTTTACACTTTCTGGTGACTTTACGTGATGTTGATTGTAATTTCAACAGTAAATTATATAAAACATACTACTTTCATAAATTGATAGATATGTAACCTAACAACGTTGCTCTCACTACAACAGTACAGTACGACCAACGTATTGTGGCGCGTGGCCGAAATCGGAACTAATTTTAAGAAGTAATAAATAAGCCTTATAGAGGAAGGTGTCATTAAGCCTTTTATATTTTCTACTAGCGGCCGCCTGCGACTTCGTCCGCGTTAACTTTTAGTTTATTTTTCCATATAAAAGATTTTTTCTAAAATATAAGTAGCCTAAGTTACTCCTTATTACATCAGCTACCTGCAAATAAAAGTCCCGTCAAAATCGATCCAGCTATTTCAGAGATTAGCTGGAACAAACAGATAGACAGGCAAAAATTGTAAAAAATGATATTTTGGTGTATAACCGTGTATATATTCATTATAAGCGGTTATTTCAGTATTACAAACAGACACTCCAATTTTGTTTATATGTATAAATGACTCTTGCCGAGGGAATATAAATTATAACGTTTTCTTTTGTGAGAAGGCTTTGCATACTTAGTAATCCTGATTTCACCAGTTGTTCACCAGCAGCGCTCTCCTGTCCATGTCATTAAATGTGCTACAAGATCTTAGTTGCTCTGTACTATGTTACCCCAACCTACGGTCTCTGTATAACTTTTCATACTCAATGGTTGTCTGGAAGAAATCGCTCTTAGTGATAAGACCGCCAATTATAACGCTTTTGTTAAGTTTATTGTTTGTGAATGTTATGTAATTATGTATTTGGTGTTATAATAAAGTGTTAATCTATCTATCTATGTTTTTATGAGTATCTCACCTTCTCGAACCACATCAGTTTCGCCGGTTCCGTGACCTCGAACTGCGCGTGCTCATGCTGCCGCAGCACGGGCCCCGCTAGACACAGCCACGGCTGCTGCTTGCGCAGTTGCGGCGTCAGATAGTGAAGTACCCAACCAAGTATGCCCGCGATTATCCATAATGCCTACGTGCCAGATATAAACGCGATCAATAAGATAGATAATAAAAAACGAGCGAGCCTAACAGTAGTCGCGTATGATGTGTAACATTTGAAACCTCACCTTATATTAGTAAAAAAAAAACTACTAGAAAAGGGATAAGCCATTTGAACATTATGTTCTAAAATCAAATCAAATAACGCGCGCTGCCCAAACTTCCTGTTACACACGGAAGTGTGGGACGGGAGTCCCACTTCACGTAATCACTCCCACAAATTGCACGATAGCGAGAGGAAAGATGTAACACATAAAAATAAAGTATTTATAATACACGCAAAGTAAGCACTGTTAGGCTTGTGTTATGGGATACTAAGGTAACTGATAGAATACATATACTGATACATAAATATGTATACTTATATAGTATATTTCTCTTTAGAAAAACCTATAAACGATTTAGGTACTAATGTCCCACCGGAATCTCTGAGGAGGCGAATCCTTGAAAACCGTGCATACCACTCGAGGCACGGGGATGTTTCTTCTTTACAAATATTAAAAAGAGCTAAAGTTTGTGAGTTACTAGGGAAAACAACCTCTGGATCTAGTGAACCGATATTGTTTTTTTTTTATCAATAGAAAGCCACGTTATTATTGGATGTAATGGGCTATATATTAACCCGTTAAATGAAAAGATATAAAAGTTTAGACTAAGTTAATCACCATCAGCTTATTTATGTGCCCACTGTTGGGGCACAGGACTTCCCTATGGGTGGAATAGGGAGATTGTGCCAAGACCCATTACGCGGGCCCAGTGCGGATTAGTGGGTGTTAACGATTGCCGATGCAGACGGGACCAACGGCTTGCCATGCCTTTCAAAGTACGGAGGAGCTCGAGATAGTAAATATTTGGTCACCCATCCAATGTCCCATGCGCCAAACGCGCAATATTTGCGCCATCGAGTTTCTCGAGACCAAGAATGTGTAGACAAAGTTTTATGTATATATTTACATAATACACAAACTAAAGGCCCACAGAACTTTATTTTTGTGTTTGAAAATATTTAGGAATCAGCCAAGTGCAAGTGCCCGCCTTTGAATGATCCTTGCATATTCATATCAAAACTTGGAATACAGTTTTGTTAAAATTTAATTTTTATACTATATCTTTTGTTACATTATAGTAATACACATCTGCTAAAATTTTAACAGTCTCTTTAAATCGGTTCATGAGATACTTGTCGGCTGACAGACGGACAGACGGTAGGCCAACAGAGGCTAAGTATAGAATTCCATTGTAAATTTTTCGACACGTTCACATTTAAAATTAAACTTCAACACTTACCGTATTCAATTGGGGCCTGAGAGTAGTGAAAACTGTTGTGCAGTGGAGTCCGAACACGAACAATCCAAGAAACGTACAAACGATGACGTCATTCTTCAGGCGGGCATTGACTGTCGCTTGCAACTTTTTAGGCAAGGGATCTTCCATATCATCTTCTGGTTTGTCAGTACCGCCGTCTTGTTTGTTATTAGAGTTAGGATTGATCGTGTTCGAATCGCGCGATTTGTCCTCCGTTTCCGTTGGAGGATCGGCTTTCAACGAAGTAGTTGAGTTCATCGAGTCCCCAGCCCGAGGGTCCATCTTCAACGAACTGACACTGGACGTCTGCGACCGCTTTTGAGTCTTTGCTATGTTAGTTTCAGAGCTGAAATTTATTTTGGACGCCGAACTTCCTATCGAATTTTGTTTCGATATATTACTCTCAGAATTGTTCTTCTTATCGTCTGTTAGTGTATTGTGTTCCTCTTTATCCGGAGTACATTCCGGAGTGTGCATGACATACAGCTCAGGTGGTAACAGATGTTTCTTAATCAAATTCCAAACGAGTGTGTAATCACTTGCACTCCGACTTAAATGGTATGCGATCGGCACAACAAGTGCACAAAATATGGAAAAGAGAATATTATGTTTTTGGTGCTGTGATTTTTTACCTTCTACCAAACCGCTATAAGCAAATCCATATAGGACACCGATTGCTGCTAATGATCGTACAATACAGTACATTGCAGCGCTGAGACTGCTTGTAGCATTTCCACCGAATATGTGCATATCTATTTGTTCTAATAAATACATCAAGAATGTGTTGACTTGTGGAAAAAGACCTAAACTGAATGCTAATGGAAAAAAAAGTAAAAACTTCGATAATATTTCTTGTATAACAAAGAAGAACTCTCTTTCGTTTAATTCAAATCCATATACTATGAAAGGTTTAGCTTCTTCTGTGCTTCTTCGGCTTCTGATATGGCTATCGTCAGTATATGGGGCGGTTTGACCGAGAAAACTATTCACTGCATATAATACTCCTGCACATAGACAAAAGTAAACGGGTCTTGAAAACACTACCATTTTATTAAATCCATGCACAGGTGATGCTGAGTCTGGTTGAACACTTTTCAGTAAAGAATACTGACTACCCGCCATAATAAAACAAAACCAAAATGCATATATATCCCGGTAAAATCCAAGATTTAAAACCATAGATCCCAATACAGCAACTAAAATTGCCAACAAAATAGAAATAAATGTTTCTCTGAATGTCAGATTTCGATCGAAAAGGGCCATAAGTTTGAGGCGGTCCATTGTTACTTTTATTTCAAGACATTTAGAAAGTTTCATTTTGTAATAACTCTTGGGTTTCGGTTGATTTGCTTTCTCTATTTCATCCATGAGTTTAGAGAACTTACTTCTTATGTTAATTTCTACGCTTTCTTCACCTATCGACGGCATCAAGCTTGGTATATTTGCAGATATTGTTTCAGCTTGCTGCTGAGCTTGTTGTTGGGCTCTTTGTTGACTCATCAGGAAATTGATATGCATACTGGGTAACCCCATCCTAGACTGCCTTTCTGCCTCAATTTGCTCTAACAAACTATCAGTAACATAAGCCACTGGTGATCTAGGTTGATCCGTGTGTGAACCAGTTCCACCGTCGAAAACGTAAAAGCGTTTATTCGCATTATTTGTATTTATCGGAACAACTGCAGATACATTGTTGTTACTGGACAAAAGAGGGTTATTACTTCCCTGGTTTGAGGAACTTTGATCTATGCTATCACCTCGTTTTTTCGGTATGTTTTCGCTATTTCCAGCTTCAGATTCTAAAGACCCACAACTTCCTTCCCCTGGTGTCTCTTGGGAATTGTCAGGATTTTCAATAGGTTTGACTCTATTGATTCGTTTATCTTCCCTTTCAGGTATTTGTATTGGTTGAGCTTGTATTCTTCCTGAACTGTTTTTATCAAAGGTATAAGACATCCAATTTCCATATTCGTCCATGAAACAATGTATAGCTCCATCAGTAGTGTCATCAAACGAAGTTGCGAAATGTACATTTGTAGAATTATTAGAATTTTCGGTGTTAGATTGTTTATCTTTTTTATCTGGATTGTTTTGTGAAGGATTATTACGCTGCCGAGTAGACCTCTTTATTTTGCGAACACGGTTTCTGTGATTGCGATCCATTAAAGGTCGCATCCTTGGTAGTTCTTCGGCTGGTTGGGCAGGCTCTGGAGGAGCATTATTATCTGCTGGACAGCAAGGCATAAAATCTACCCTAGAATTAAGGAATGCGGCTAATAAAGGCATAGAGGTTGGGAGTAAAGTATTAGTCGAGGTTTGAGCAACTTCTTCTATAGATCTTTTTCTTGTTTTATGGGAGTTTTCTCTTTCACATCGTATACTTTGCCTGTGACTTCGTGATCTTTCATCTCGATTTGGAGGAGGCATGACTACCGTATTAGCATTGGTTGCTGCAAACAAACATTCCAAACCTTGAACCAAAGCAGCTTGAGCTTCTACAGCATCCAAAAGTATCCTATCATCATCGATATTTTCATCTTTTTCCATCTTAACATCTTTAGGATCTCTCTTCTTGTTCTCTTTTTGCGACGAAGCTCGTGATCGTGCTAAATTTTTTATCTGCTTTGGTATGGCACCTAAGTTTTTTGGAACGTTGGAAGACGATTCACCTAAAGCATTGGGTAATTTTTGACATAATACATCTTCAGCTGGAATCGAGCATGATTCCGTTTCTTTGCAGCAACTAACTTTAAACTGACTGGTCTCTTCAAATAACCAATCTATACTATATACGCTTCTCTCATCAGCACTTTTACTGTCACAAGTTAATTGTGATTCTTCCGTTTCGGGTACAGTGTTTTTATCTTCTTTGTTATCCAAAGTCCTGTCTAAATTAGTGTCGCTACTACTACTAGAGTTAGATATATCATGGTCCCAGGGTTTCTTTTCTGTTATTTTTCTAGCTTCTGACTTTTTAATCGATTGGTCGCCATTTTCATTTGATTCTAAACTAGATTTTTCTATTAAAAAATCTTTTGAGCTTGCACTGGCTTTATCGAAATAATCAGTACTTGGATTAGATTTACAGTCACAAGCGCTTATTTGTCGGTCTGGTCGTTTACTTTCATAATGAGGTTCACTTTTGGAAACTTTTTTGAGTCTTATAGGTTTAGATTTTTCATTGGTGCAATCAGAATAATGCTTCGACCCGGGATGTCGATCGCAACACTGTTTCTTACAGTCACTATGATTTTTCGTACGAACAACTCTGACTTCTGTAGATCGATCTAATAATGGAGATCTAGAACCATTATTTTCAAAATCAGAATCACTAGATCGTACAGCCGGTGACTGTTCAGCATCCCAGTCAAATCCACGAAATTGTTTGTCATCATCGTAATCGCTGTAACTTTCTCCGCTAGAATCTAAATCAGTTTCTTTTTGAGAAGTTTGCATTTCATCTGAAATTTCAGCTATGGGATAGACTATTTCTGATCCATACGTAAGGTATGGATAACTACAGCCTTCGCCAGATTCATTTTTAGGATATAGGTTCAAATGTGGCCCACGTGTAAGACTTTTACTAGGTGGCGGAATAACTGCACTTTTAGGATTTTTAAGCATCTGCCCGCCGATAGTTTCAGCGCTGTTTGGATGAGGCGAAAGGTTAGATACACTTGGAGGGGGGCATCCAATTTCTAAAGCGGCACTTTTTATTCGTCGCACCCCTGGACTTTTACCCTTACTTTTATCAGTGTCACCACTAGGTGCTTCAGCTTTAACCATCATGTACTCGCCTAGTTCTACACTAGCGAAAAACCCTGTATCTGCATTATTTGAATGTCTTCTCATGTGGGACACCAGTTGTGCAGTCGAGTTCAAAAGTGGTAATTGTATAGTGGACATGGTGGAATTACAATTTCTTCGCATGTTAGATGGTTGAGCTGTTGCTAAAGCCATAGCAGATTTAGTGCAACTTTCATCTGGATAATTATTATATCTTCGTCTATGAGCTATTCGTTTTTTTGGGGAGGGTGGGCCGACATTTGGTTCCGAATTATCTCTAGAATCGGAACTTAGGTGGCGAGCGAACTTGGATTGATAAGGTTCCCCAGTTGCTTCACTTCCATCTAAATACAGCCATTCTTTGAAAAAGTCCCTGTTGCTAGAACCTCGTCTGTGAGAGCACTCGTGATAACGCCTACTCACTTTTGCAAAAGGTCCTTCATCTACCAACATATGAACGGGTAAGTTATTATCTAGACGTGGATTTTTAGAAGCTTCTTCAGCAATTAGTTCATCTATTCTATTTCCCTGCGTTCTCCTATTCTTAGTTCTATGTTCTCGTTTATGACCAGACTTCGACCTACTTCGATTTTGTGGACGGGATTTTGAAGGACCTGGGGCATCAGCAACTTGCGAAACACATAGATCTGATTTTGTAGCAGCCACAATCTCTGGCTGTTTAGTAGATGTAGCACTGTCTTCTATACTTGATTCTGAACTGTTTTTTCGATGAACATCCACTTTTAAATCTGAAAAAAAACGACGTGTTTTGATAGGAAATATGTTATTTTTTAATAATGACAACAGTATTTAAGCTTTTTTTTTATACATTTTTGGTCCCATGATCAATGAACGTCACTGGCCACTTGGCTAATCAGGCATGAATAGAACAGGTATTAAATATCCTTATAATATAATACTTTGTAATGCTGGGGTGGGGACCGATGGCGCGCCTTGTCATGGGCTAGATCGCGCCCTGTCATCACCAGACAGACCAGTCACATCCGATGAAGCCCGCGGTCTGCCGACACTCATCCGAACCATCGGGTTTGGTAAGATTAACAGTGCAATGCGTTGCGATCCGTAGAGCCTTGTCTGCGTCAGTCAGTGTTGGCAGTTGAGGAAAACGATATTAAATACCTAGATACACCAACACGAACAAAATCGTGTCCAAAACCTGCCCAAAAGGTACATTGGACGATCCACGGCGCTCCGCAAGATGATCGGGTAGTCAAAAACAATATAAGGCATTATTTAAACATTGAAAGTCACCTTTAATGCATTGGTATTGGTCAGGTCTTAATTAAAACGCATGCGTCAAAGAGTTGTGACAGTTGGAAATGCAAGCTCGTTAAATTTTACGACTTATTGCTATATGCGTAAGAAAAAAGATCTTATTTATTTGACTATACGCGCAATTCTGAATGTGCTGTTAGCAATATAGCAGGTATGGGCCACGAGGAAAAGAAACGGCTATATTCCCGACTATGCATTTGAATATCACAAATATTTTATATTAAATCAATTTACAGTAAGTATTAGAACAAAATTTGCTTCGAATGTGTTAAATTAAAATACATTGATTAAATATCTTTAAAAAAAACGACACTTTACATACTATAAGTATTTTTTTCGCATTTTTTCACGAAGCTCTGCGGCAACTTGACTTTTCAACGGTCCGCGCGTGACTGTGAACCAAGAAGTGCTTGAACAATACTCAAGCACTTCTTGATTGGGACATATTTTTAACATACGTGGTGTATCTACGGTATTTAATATTGTTGGATGAGGAAATTAAAACGTGGTCAGGTAGGTACAAGGTCACAGTAAAATCCCCTATAGATTAAGTAGGTAGTAATTTTAAGAGAAACTGAAGTAGCCCATTTACATCAGTTTCTTTAGTTCGGAGAATGCAAATAACAAGAGATTAACAAACGTCAATAAATAAATAAAGTTTCGTGCATTAACCCGTAAAAACTAGTTTTATTTAAGAGATTAAATTTTATTTTTTTATAATCATATCACTCATATAAGTTTTGTTATGGTTAATTATTTAGGTTTGTTGTATGAAATTAATAAGCATAATCAAGGCTAGTCCTGTATCCCTTAAACAGGTGGTAGAAAAACCGGTACATCGCGTCAATCCTTGTCTTGCTCTTTCATTTTGTTTGTGGTCTTTAAATAGGAATACTACACGTATTCCTTTGGCTTGTGAGTTAGTTAGTTAGTTTTTCAGGGTGGTTTCCGCACTTAGTCCTAATCATTGGACCATTGTGCGTGTCTTGAAACATTCCCGTTTACTCCAGCCAGCCTAGTTTAGTCTAGAAGGAAAGCAGTCTTGACAGACTGCTGCAAGCTTCCGGAAGCGATGCAGGTGACTGGAGAAAGCGTGCCCCTTGGTCGGCCTGTTACTCCTATTGTGTATAGGTGCTTGTTTAGGGGACAATGACCAGTTAGGGTTCCTATAATTATGCGGAATATTGGCCTGTGAGTTTATGGACCATTGGACCCAACATTGACTGATTAAAAGTAACAGAATAAGATAGTTCTCATTACCAATAGTACTATTATTCGGTTTGTGATATTCTAAAGAAGTCACAGATTCATTGTCACTACCAGCTGTTGCAAGGCCTCCTAGTCTTAACATCTGCATTTCCATGCCCTCTTCAGGTCTAAAATAAAAGGATATGGTTTTAGTTGTAATTAAAATATGATGAGTTTATTCTATTTGTAACTTCATTGATGGAGGCATCACTTAAATCCTGACTTTTTTGTATATGGACCACATAATTCACAGATTTTTATAAAAATATGATACAAATTGTATTCATATGAAATACTCACACTATGTTATTATTAGAGTTGTTTGTATCACCACTTGGTTGAATGATTATGCATTCACTGGTATCGTACATATGATGGAGCCCATGATTCAAAAGTTTAAGGCATGTGAATAATAATGCCACTAGTGCACAATATGTGATCCAACCAAGACTTGCTGGTGGGAAATACTGTTAAAAAATTTGCATTGTTATTACAAGCATTTTGAAACAAGTGTTACAGAAAATTTTGAAATAGCACATTGTAAGTTTATTCAGACATCAGTTATTTTTCTAATTAAATTCCTGACACAATTACAAATGGATAATGGAATGGTTATTTTTTTAATATAAACACTAAATTGTGATTATTAAATTATCTTGCTATCCACTTAGGAGTAAAATGTCTTTTTCCTCAAATGTCCTATTCTCAAAAAGTGTGCTTTCCTGCAATATGAGCTTTTCATTTCCTAATGTTTTCTTCCTAGAACATCTGCTTCTTGAAATGATTGTTTCCTAAAATGTTTGCTTATTCAGATTCACCCATGAAGTCCCTTCGAACCTTAGATTTAATATTTAAACCAAGCTTCTAACCAATATTTATTGCACAGTTGGAAACTAAATCAGTCTGTGTTCTGATAATTATAGTAAATTTACAAAGAATTTGCATACTACATCATTGGTCATAAAAATAGATTTTATATTTACAATATTGGGGTACTAAATTATTCACTCAGGAGATTTAACAATTTCTTTGAAGAAATTAATAAGGTCATTTTTATTTAAATTTCTTTGGAGAACTTTAAGAAGGTGGACATTGTAGGAATCTAGACATAGACATAGAAAGCACATATTTTGGGAACATCACATTTTAAGAAACACACCTTATAGGAAAGGTACATTCTAAGGTATACAGCATGTATAAAGAAATCTAAAGAACTCTCTTATTTTAAATATCAATTCATTTGATTTTTTTAGGAGAGAGAGCATGCATGTATGAGCTTTGTTCCTTTTGCCTTTTAATATAGAAAAAAAATATATGTATTTTGTGAAAATGGTGATAATTTTACAAGTAATCATTTTTAATGTATTTTTCTGGTAATCTTCCAGTGCTCTGGTGTAGAGATTGCAGAGAGACTACATCGAGCCCTTACCGCCAAATTATCGTAAGCGACACTCGCCAAATTATCGTAAGCGACACTTTTGTCGAAATGCGTTTTTTGTGGAAACTAATATTTTAAACCGTAACGGACCCATCTCTGTTGATATTTCCCTCCAAAAGAACACCGTTATAATATAATAGAGGGAAGAATAGAGGGAAATATCAACAGAGATGGGTCCGTTACGGTTTAAAATATTAGTTTCCACAAAAAACGCATTTCGACAAAAGTGTCGCTTACGATAATTTGGCGGTAAGGGCTCGACATTATCAGAGACCTTTTCACCAAAAAATAGTGAAGTTTTAATTCTTGGACCCAGAAAGTACAGTTTTACCCTAGGTAGGTGAACACTACATTACAATATAGGTTCTAAATCATAAACATTTCCTTCTGGATTTGCTAGAGTTGAGCAGAAAGAAAATAACATCTTATGTCATTTACATATATTTGAATTAGAATATAATTTAACAAAACAATTGGAAGTTAATTATTGCAATCTATTTTGAAAGACTAAAAAAGAATGTATTTACAATAAATAAACTGAAGTAGAATTAGACAACATTATGCTTTGGGGTTGTCTTTTGTTACTTATAACTGTTTTACTCATTCAGCTTTTTAAATTAAGCCATATGTTGAATTTTATGTAATCTCAGTTTATTGAGTGATATTAACTAAATTTTATTTCAGAATACTGTAACATCTAGTAAAATATCTAACACATAGTAAGTAGCCTCTCATAAATTGACATCAAATGTTTGTTAAATGACATTAAAATATTTATTGTCCTAAAAAAAACAATGTGAGAAAATATCTGATGACCTGATTTGTTTTAATTTATTCTAAAATAGGTACTTATTTATCAGAAATACTTAAAGGTTTTATATACTTACCAAGTATACAGAAAACGGTAAGCATAATAAAAAAAGCCAAATGTATAAGTGAACAGTGTTGCAAAACAAATTTTGATGTGGATCATAGAACCATCCTCCTGTCAAAGAAGCCCAAACACCTTGGCGCAATATCTCTAGTGTTTGTGAACTCATTTTAAGTGCTATGTCCACATTTCCACACTAAACTCCCTGTTCACCTACATAATACACTACACTAAGCAGTTGTTTCTTTACTGTACAACAACAGCTATGTCTGCAATCCTATCGTTTTCCCTGCCATTTTGTATGGCAATACACACACGATAACAGACTTTATATGCATGTACCCTGATTGTACACAATATTTCACTTCTCCATATTGAGTTTGATAACTTATAAATAACAATATCATTAATCAGCGTGTTTTGAAAAAATAGACAGTAAGATTTTATTATTTTACATTTAGAAAATAGGATTTACAAGACAAAATTTGCAATCAAATTATTTCATTTGACATTTGACACTGACACATCATGACAATGACAGCTACCAGTGATATTTTATTTCTTTTTTTTTTTTGGTTAATTTGTCCCTGTTGGGACGAGCAAAGGATTCTGAGTCCATACAGCCCTGTCTGTTAACTTTTCTTTCTTAAAGTGTTTTGATTGTAGCTTTTATAAATTTGTATAAAGGAATGTAGGTGTCTTTATTTTGTAAAAGTTTTCTCAAGTCGCGCGGGATGGTTTCTTCGCCAAAAGTACTTCGAAGGTCTTGAAGCAGCAAATTTCTCTGTACTTGAAATGAACCGCAAAAGAAAAAGATATGGTCCAAGGACTGATTATCTATGTTGCAGAAGTTACAAACAGGTGAGCTGACCATCTTTAGCCGGTACAGGTGATCTTTAAAAAGGCAATGACCTATTCCAAGTCTGCATAAAGTGGTATAAAAATCTCTCGTCCTGTACTGTCCTTTATCAAACCAGGAGGCACGTATGTCTTTCTGAATTTCTCCAAACCATTTTCCTTTCTCTTGCAGAGATATCTTCCAGTGGTCGAGCCATTGGGTCTTGATTTCTTGTTTGAGGTTAGGCATGAGATCTGTATATGGTACAGCTATATCTCTCACAGCACATCTGTCGTTTCTCACTACAGCAGTACAAAGAGCATCAGCATCTTCATTTCCATGAACTCCGATGTGTGAAGGCGTCCAAAAAAAGGCCACTTCAATATTCTTCTGCTGTAAGTTTCCTAATTTAATTCGTATCAATTCAATGATATAATTTGTGTCAGCTCTGTAGGTGTGGTTCTGCAATGCATAAAGCACACTTTGACTATCTGTTACTACTAGCCACTTTTCTATATTACACTCAATATCTTCCATATAGCTTAATCCTTCTAAGATGGCTAGAGCTTCTGCAGTAAAAATAGAACAGTGGGGATTTATCTTAACACCAAAGCCAGTTTTCTTGTGAGGGATGTAAATAGCAATTCCAGTAGATGTAGCAGTTTTTGAACCATCTGTGTATATTTTTTTATAACTTGACCATTTATACAACTCTCTATATACATCTTGCTTACTTTGCAACTTGTTATCAATATCAACTTGAATGTCATTAAATTTAATATCATAGTTACCCCAGTAACAAGGCCAATTCATATATCTTTTTACAATATTATAATAATTGTTATATAAAGTATTTACATTTTCAGAAATAAATGGACAATTAACGTTGTTTGTGAAACCTAATATTTTTGGGAGTAGTCTGTTGTTAAGGACAGAAAATTGTTTTAAAATATATTTTTTTCTTAAATAGTGAAATCTGAATTTAAGAGGTTCAATATTACATTCAATCTGTAATGAATTGATTGGTGATGTATTCATTGCACCAATGATAAGTCTTAGACATTTATTTTGTATTTTTTCCAATTTTTCTATACACTGGTTTAAATTTGAATAAAATAAAAATCCATATTCGAAATGGCTCCGAACAAGTGATTTATATAGAAGTTTTAATATTTTTGGATCTGAACCCCATGAAGTTTTCGCTAAACTTCTCAAAATATTAAATGCTCTATTAGCACGATCAATTATATTTAAAACATAGGACTTGAAAGACAAATTACTACTAAATATCACCCCTAAAAACTTTACATTATTTACAACAGGCAAAATTGAATTATCATATATAATATTTACATTTACTGAACATTTTATTTTGCTAAAAACAACTACTTTACTTTTTTCTGGGCTAATTTTCAAATGTAGTGAATCAAAGTATGATTTAAGTCTTGTTATTGTGTGGTTCAATTTATCAACTGATTCCTGAATACTGTTAGAGCTACAGTAAATAGCTAAATCATCAGCAAAGTGCAAATTATATACACTAGTTCCTAAGATTATATTAAGCTTTCTTATATACAAAATGAAAAAAAGAGGACTTAAAATGCTACCTTGACAACTACCTTTAAATGAGTATTTAGGGCCATACAGCATAGAATTATATTTAACAAAAACTTTTCTACCATTTATGAAATTAAAAATCCAATTTATGACTTTTGCAGGTAATCCAATGGAATTTAGTTCCGAACATAAAACTTGGTGGTTAATGTTGTTAAAAGCACCAACTATATCAAAGAAGACACAAAGAAGTGCTTTGTCATCTGAGAAAGCTTTCAGAATATCCAGATGAAGATGACATATACTATCCCGAGTGGATTTCCCTCTCCTGAATCCAAATTGGTTGTCAGGTAAAATTCCATATTTCTCTATATAGAACTCTAGTCTCTGTTTAAGCAGCTGTTCAAATATCTTACCAACACATGAAGATAAGACTATGGGGCGGTATGAATCAACTAAACCTGGTTTCTTGTTTGGTTTCAAGATAGGGACTATACAATCTGTTTTCCAAGAATCAGGAATTTCATCGTGGATCCATAATGAATTGAGGATATATAAAAAGATTTGAAGTGAACTATCATTTAGTTCCTTAAACATGCGATAAGATATCCAATCTAGTCCACATGCAGTATTTTTACGAGATTTTAAGCCACTTTGAAGTTCTTGCAAAGAAAAAGGGTGTACAATAAAGTTATTGGTGTCATTTAATTTATGTCCTAGTAATACAAAAGGAGAAGTTTCTGAATCATTGTCTTGGGTATACTTGTTTAGAAAGGGGGTGACCCACTTATCTGAAAAGCTTTTACTACCAGGAGAAGTACTATTAAATTTTCTCATATATTGCCTTATAAACTTAATGGGAGTATTTCTATTAAAAGATTCACAAAGACTTTGCCAACTTTTTTTTTGCTCAAGTTTAAGGATCATTTTTTTTACGTGCTTGTAACCTTTTGAAATTTACATAATTTTCTGGTGTAGAGTTGGATTTAAATAAAGTATATGCTTGCTTTGAAGCTTTCACTGCCTCACTACATGTGATGTTCCACCATGGAACTGTTAACTTAGACTTTTTATGAGGTAATCTATTGTTTGACCCAGATATGGGTCTTTGAGGACTTGATTCAGCAACTGCTTCATGTAGTACACCACAGAAACTGTTATATGAGTCAATGACATTATCCATTATGTTAAAAGATTGGAGCTTCTGATTTACTAAAATTGAATATTTTTTCCAGTCTATTAACTTAAGATTATAATGAATTGGAATGTTAGATGATGAGTTTGCATAGGAATGTGATTGTAGTGATATTTCTGTCATAACAGGGAGGTGATAACTTCCAAGAGGATCATCATGGACTTGCCAATTGCACGCAAGAGCAATGGAAGAAGAAACAATAGTGAGATCTATAGCACTTGGCCTCCAACTAGCAGAACCTACTGTTGTGGCCCTGCCATCATTTAATAGAAATAAATCATTGTTTTCAACTATGTCACTAATGTCTCTACCACGGTTATCAGTTGAGTGGCACCCCCACAAGGTATTGTGGGCATTAAAATCACCAGCAACTATCATTGGCTCAGGGATCAGCTTTATTAAATTATCTAATTTATTTTTACAAAAACTAGGTGTACTATAAGGAGGACAATAAATACTTACTATGGAAAGATCTGTATTATGGAATCTTACTTGAATAGCTATGTTTTGAATAGAGTTATCAAATGTAGTATCTATTGTCTGAAAGGGGATATCGTTTCTAATGACAATTGCAACACCATTGTGTCTATTACCAGAGTCCAACCTGGCTACTGTGTAGCCTCTTATTGTAAAATTTAATTCGGGTCTCAACCATGTTTCACATAATAATGCTACATGAATGTCTTGTTCATATAAAAAATGAGTAAGACAATTTTTATTGCATAATATGCTCTGAGCATTCCACTGGATAACCCTTAAAGCCATTATTTAATTTTGTATGATGTTACTACTTCTCTAAGAGCTTCTTTAATGTTACTGGAATTTGTTACACCGCTTGCCTTAATTTTAATTAGACTTTGTACAAGAATATTTACAATATGGTCATTTATCAACAATTTGGTGAAGTCATGTTCATTGTCATTTTGTTTTTTACTATGTAATGCAGGAAACTGCTTAGTATTTAAGATGTCAATATATGGTACTGGATTATTAATTTTTCTTTTATTTTCAATAATTTTTTGCTTTTTTATAGGACAGTTACTATCTATGGCTATATGGCTACCTTTGCAATGAAAGCAGATAAGTATTTGACTATCACATTCTCTATAGTTATGACTACCTGCACATTTCGAGCATTTTGTGGCATTTTTGCAAAATGCAGCTGTATGACCATATAATAAACAATTAAAGCATTGTTTTATTGGAGGAACATATTTTTTCACGGGAAAAAGCCATGAGTTTAATTCTACTGATTCTGGCAATGTGGTTGATGCGAATGTAATTGAGATTGTTTGCGTTGGTTGCAATGTAGTTGCGCCACTATCGTTCTTTACTCTACGCATAAACCTACGAATAGATATAATTTTTTTTGAACAAGTTAAATGTTTATATAATTTAGCATTGCTATAATCAATAGGTACGCTCGTTATTACCCCAATTTGCTCAGATGCAGAAGCTGGAATACTGGCTTGTAATCTGTGCTGTTTGAAAAAATCTTTATTCTGGAGTGCTGCATTAGCCATAGTTGGTTTGTCAAAAATAATTCCAAACTTGAATTTATTAATTCTTTTAAATTGTTTAA